GAGTAGTATAAAGTGTAAAAGGGTACACTGTAGTTGTACTTTGGTACGATTGGAAACCAACCAAAGTGTAAACCTTTTACACTTTATACTACTCCCTCGGATAAGCTGCAAGTAGGATTAGCTTTAGGTATAGAAGGGGTATCGGATGAGCCACAAGTAGGATCATCCCTAGGTGTAGAATGGGCATAAGCCCACAATTTTGCCACCGTCAGCGCCATCTGTGTCCCCCTCGCTCGGTAATTCAGCATTGACCGCGAGACTCCGGGCGAGTCCGACAGATGGCGCGGCAAACGACGTGCGGCGCGAGGTTTCAGCCGGTCTCGATAGATGGCGCTGGCCGGCGGCGGCGGGGGGGAAATGCGACACCAAGAAATTTTGAAATATAATTCTCGGAATTTTAAACAACGCCATCTCCGCGCCGATTATGTTGCCCCGATACTTTTCTCGCTTTCCGAGAGTCGAGACTTTCTTCAGCCCCGGACGGCGCTTTCCCCGCCCCCCCCCCCTCGTAGTCGCTCGTAGTTCGTCACGTTGCTGATAGTCCGCGCTCGAATCGACACCCCGGGATCGGTTCCGTACCGGTCCGGTTTTTCGCCTTGGGATTCTCCCCGAATGCTATCCTGGGCTCTTGGTATAAATCACTATGGAAACGACAATTGCGAGCTTCGCCTCGCTCCTTCCCCTTCGCTTTTCACGACCCGACGTCCTTTCTCTCCTTCTCTCTCCCTCCCTCTCTCTCTCTCTCTCTCTCTCTCTCGCGCGCGCGCGCCCTCCTTCTTCCACTCTATTCCCAACCGTCTTTAAAGCGTCCATAGGTCTCGACAGTGGTGCTCCGATTTTTCCTGTCAAAGTGGAGAGGCCCCATAAATCGCGGGCCTCGTTTGTACTCGCTGGGCGACCAACTGCTCTCTGCGAGGGCACATTTACTTGCTGAGGCTCTAACGTTAAAGTGTTTACGAGTTTCAAATTTAACTCGAGAAATCGGAGCGGGCGCAATTAGTCGAAATAATTTTCGATCGATTTTCATGCCGCCCGACGTTGCCGTCGATCGTGCGCCCCGCGCGGCCTCGCGGATCTTTGTTAATACGCCAAGAATAATATCCCAACTCGCAGCGATCCTAACTCGAGCCGCGCGAGTTGTCCCCGAAAATCGTCGGCCGCGTCGCGTCGCCAGCGCCGCACGCACACAAATACGTTCCTGGCATTCTCCGTTTACGACTACCTGTGTTGTCATTGTTTTTTTCTCCCTTTATCGCGAGTTTCCTCGGTTTCCAGCGGCCCGCCGAGATGCCCCAAGCGGTTCACAACCTAACCGGATTTCAGTTGCCTAACGTTCCCGCGCGATGTTTACCACGGGGGTTTGCGGCGAGAAAATAACGCGCTCGAGATCGCAAGAGAGTTACCGAAGAATGTCTCCCGAAACGGACGCACGAAGAATACGAACGTCCTCCCCCCCCCCCTCCCCTCGAGGTGTTTGCGCGGTTCATGCGGTGAAGGAAAGCGAAGGGACCTACGAGGAGATAAAAATTAAAATACCAAGAGGAATATCGATGTCGCCCAGTAATTGATTGAGAAACGGGGGGAGAAATTGTTCGGCTAAGGTGGTTTAACAATTTATTCCGGCGCTTCGACCGTCCGCGTCGCGGCTCAAGAAAATATATCTGCGGAACAACGGAGAAACTTATCCGCTTGCCAATTGCCGAACGAACGGCACGCAGATAAGTTTCTCCAACATTTTGTGGATATATTTCCTTGAACCGCGATCCGGATGGCCGAGGCGTCGGAATACAATTGCGAAGTTAAGCCACCGCGGCCGGTCGTCGAACGAATTTTTCTTCCGAAAAATATTCGAGGCCCGGCTCCCACATCTTTCGAGCGCCGACAAATCACGCGTGTTATATTACATTTACATTGACGTTATGTAACCGATACTGTCTGGCGTATACGCCGGACAGATGTGGCAACGCGATGCATTTCAATCTCGACGGTATAGTTATGTTGTTACACTGTTATATACTGTTACTCCGGTGTTCGCTAGGAGGATCGCAACCCGACGAGAGGCGGCCGAGGCTCTTCCCCGGGCCCCGCGTTATTTTCGTGCGACTGGACGCGCGCGTCTCGAGAACCGAGCCACCGCTGCCGCTGGCTTTTCTCTCGGGACGCTGCGCGGAGAGAGAGATAAAGGAAAGATGAAGTTCAAGGTCACGCACACGCTCGCTGTTGCGCAACACAATCGGCGGCCCCGTACCTGCGAATCCGCCAACAATGCGTGTTATCGCGAATATCCGTGGTACGACGAGCGCGCACGAGGCACGAGGGGATCGCTACCGAACGGAGAGCGAACAAAAGATCTCATTTTCCAATTTCTCGGTATTTCTGGTGAGTCTTCCTCTGTTCGTGGTGACGCCGTGCAATTCTGGACGGTAAAAGCTCCCCGGACTCGGTTTTCAATTGTACTCAAAATTGTAAAGTAACAAGAGCGTCTTTCTCTCGGATTTTTATAATTTGCAGGGAGCGGACGAGAGTGAATAAAAACCCTTTGCCGGACGCAGGAGATGCGCGAGCCGGCGTTTCTACCGACCACGAAGGTTTACGTTCGTTTAAGGATGTGTCGGACATATCTTCACAATAGTACAAAGTCGCTAGAACTTTGCGAAATTGTTCCTTTGGTCTTCCTAATGTACTGCAGAAGAGTAAAAATGCATCCACTAAACGGCTGCTGAGATATAACTTGAGATATTCGTGCTGTCGGCACGAACTTTTTAGTTTGGAAAATATTTGACGTCATTAAGTTGCAATCAGGGTATTTTCACTATCAAAAGTTTAGGCTGATAAGTGAAAAAAATGCAGGAAAGAGCATTTGTAAAGTGAAAAATACCTTTGTAGGAGTACAAACAAGACTCCAACTATCGTTCAAGTTTCTTACGTCCAGATTTACTATGCGTTCAGAGTAGACATTCAAGTATTTCCAATTTCATGCACTTTTGTCCTGAGATCATACGTCCAATACATCCTTAATATTGAGAAGAGAGACAATCTTACAGCGTACACGCAATCGGTTCCCCGCTGCCAATTGAAATCGAGGTGATGTATGTACACGGTACTTGGAACGATCTCCCAAATGTACCGCGCCGAAATCAGCGTAGGACGAGAATTGATTGAATTTCGAAGTAACTCGTTGGTTTATTCCAGATAAGAAGAGGAACGTTCTCGACCGCCGTTAGAGCGGCACTTTGATTCTGGTGGCAGTGGTGCTCAGGTTTTTCGAAATCCCGGCCCTCGAAACACGAGGCGTCCCGTCCAACTCGGTACAGCGGCCGTGATACGACGTCCGCACAGGGACGCCACTTTCATTTTTGCGTGCTGATAAAAGAAGAATCCGGCATTCATCTCGCTGGTTCGCGGAAGCGTAGCGAGCGAACGCGTTTTACTCAAGAATACGGCATCGCCTTCCGGTATATGTATATACGTCTTCTCTCTAATAGCGAGAGAAAGAGAGGGAGAGACACATTTTACCAGCGCTCTCAGGCTGCTGTCCAGAAACGTCTCTCCGCGCGGTCGTTTCGCTCTCCGCTCTTCGCTTCGAAAATCGCATCTTTCTTTGTTGTGATCCCCGGACGCCTTGGGAAAAAGCGTCCCTTCTCTCGCCCCTCCTTAAGGGCCTCACGGACGGTAACTGCCTGCCTGCGAGCGGGAGGTAGAAAGGAAGGGAGAGAGCCGGGATCGCCGAACGAAGAGAGATCGACGAACCGAACGGGGGTGAGGGGAGAAGAGAGAGAGAGAGAGAGGAAGAGAGAAAGACAGAGAGAACGGCGGTACAGGGCCCCTTCTCCGAGAATGCCCCTACTACGAGTGAGGCCGCTAATGCCATTCCCGACGGACGCATCACTCTGCTTTCCGGCTCCGCCGACGACGTTTGTGCTCTCTTTGGACGCGAGGACGAGGAAATTTCCTGGCGGCGAATCGGGTCCTCAGGAGAGAGAGAGAGAAAGAGAGAGCGCGCGCGCGCGTTTCCGGAGGAAGAGGGAAACCGGACAACGCGGGACCGTTCGACACGCCCGTCCAGCGGCCCTGGATGGGTTTGAATTCAGTCCACGTTTCACGTTTATATGCGTGACTAGATCCACACTCATCCAAGGATACTGGACCTGTGTTGAGGCGAGGAGAGCGCGAAGCGCGAGCGCGCGCGCTCGCGCGTGGACCAACACACCTGTTCTTCTGTTCTCTCGAGTCTTCTGGGAAAAGTGATATCGCGAGGTAAATGAGGGACGGACCGACGAAAGGATAAAGAGAGAAAGACATAGAGAAAGGCTCGAAGCTACGCAGCGGTATCACGAGGTAACGGTCGCAGACGCGAGGTCGCGATTTCTCACGGATCTCCTCCATCGCGCAGATTCGAAACCGGTATAATAATCTCCGCGCGCGCTCGCCCGTGTCGCCGCCGCCGCCGCCGCCGCCGCCAAGACACGATGCCTAAATGGCGTCGTGAACGCGTCGAAGGACGTTCTAGCATCTTCGAAATACTTCAGCGAGCACATCCAAAGCCAAATCTCGGAGCTGCTCTCTTTCGTGTTTGAGTTCTGTATCTCCCGATAAGACGCGCTCCAGAATGCTCTTCCCCGATCGGTTTGTGGGCGAGCGCAGGGATAAGGCGTCGGGAACTTCGGCGGAAATTATTCCAGTCTCAATCTCGTATCGCCCTTCTCACCCTCGCGCGCCGCTCGAAGCCCGCGCGAATTCTGTTATGTTCAGAGACGCGACCTCGGAGCCTTCGGGGAACATTAAGAACGTAAACGCCGCTAAGCTCTCGTTTAAGATCGCTCGATTAAAATCGCAACATCGACTGCCTCTTCGCTTCGTTTACAGTTGCATCCCACCTTGGTCGACCTGTCCTTTGTCTTCCCCGAGCGCGGCGCATCTTTCACTCCCGTTTCGCAATTGCATCGAGAGAACGCATACACGTGCATGTGCAATGTATATTCGATCGCGAAACGTGAACGCTGACGAAACTTGATGCATTCCTGAGTGGCGGAGCCAATGGCCGTGGGATTCCCTTTCAGTTTCTTTGTGTGTGAACACCTGCCGCGCTTTCCCCTCCAGTCTTCTCTCCCCCTTTCGCCACGGCAGCGGCAACAATCCTGCCCTTTACCTCCCCTCGTCCCTTCCCGTGCCCTCTCTCATCGGCCGCCCTCCCGCCATCCTTCCCGAATAACGGTAAAAACTCGTCCGTACCCCCGAACGAGCGAGATTTCCTTCTCTCCGCACGCTCCAAGTGAAAAATTCGCAAGTCCTACCCTTGCAATTACGCTCTTTAATAACGGATTTACAATAGCAGTCCGTTCTCATTTCTTTATATTACTTTACTTTGAACAAATAAATTATATATGTATATAGTATATTTTAGAGAGATATATACATACATATACATATTATATATAAAATTACTCTTGTATATAATATATATATGCATGCACGCTGTAATATAATTAATTGTTTCGTGATGTGACGCCATACATTTGTCGTGAAATAAAAAATATCACAATTTATCTCGTCTCATTTAAATAGAACTTGATATCCTTACGGTGATGCGAGTTTCACTACGTAGGGCAAAATCGCGTGATGACTTATATAACGTCGACTAACGTGACGTGAGAGAAATACATGAAATACGCAATATTCAAATCTATATTGACAACGATAACACGCCCGATGGGGCGCAGACCTATTCTTAAACTAATAGACGTCCCCTTCTTCATCTCGGCGAGAGGTCGAAGGAATTGCGTTGAGAATTTTTTTTCTTTTCTTTTTCGTTACGAAGGCTTCAAGCATTCGTGGCAGGTGAAGACCGTTGATCCGTGCGGGCCAACGTAGTATTGTATAATTAAAGGCATATTGACAAGATCGTTGAATCTGCCGGCGCAGATCTCCTCGGTGTTCCTTCGGCCTCTACGATCTGTATCAAGTACTCTGAGACTCCAGGCTCAATTGCGCTATACGGGGATGGTCCTCCTGATTGTCCGCGTCTCCCCGCGACATGTCCGGATCCGAACGGATCTCCTCCAACGCCTGCTTGATCTGCGCCTGCAGCTGTCCGGCCACCTTGCGCACCGCCGTGTGATTCTGCTTGATCTGCTTCGCGTAGGAGAGCATACCGTCCCAGAGGGCTGCGCTTGTATGCGCGAGGTACAGTTCTTTCCACAGCTGAATACTGATGGGTGCAACGCTGGGCCAAATCACTCCCGGATTCGGCTCGTACAACGGATTGATCCACTGCTCCAAAACGTCCGGCTGATTCATGTACGACCATAAGCTGTAGGTTCGCTCGGACAGCCGTAATTTTATCCTCTCCGCCTCCGAGTCACCTGAGTAGACGAGCAATACATGTAACGATGAGTAAGCAATAATAATACATAGCAAATATACTTATTGTAATTTAAATAAAGAATTGTGTATATGTGAATATTATGCGTTTTAATTTCTATTTTAACGATTTATCTAATCTTTTACACAAAGCAATACGACAAGTGTACGTATGCGACAATGTTGCGCGTTTTCTAATATCATAACTCGTAGTTATAACGAGAGAATAGGATGTTTTAATATAAAAATGTAACTTGGGTGATGTAGAAAAGTAAACAGAGACGCGATTAATGCCTCACGTACCTAAAAATGTACCGTAGTTGGAGGAGTAGGCGTGCTTGTACAATTTGATGAGCAAATCCGCGGTGTACTCGAAGCTGAATTGGAATTGGTGGTGCAGCTGGTACAGGCAGTCGAGGAAAAGCAGAAAGGTCGGCGCGTGCGTGGGATTTTGCGAGCTCACGGATTGATACGCTCCGCAACGGGTCCGGCTGAAAAATTGATGGCCGGCCTGCAACCACTCGCGCTCTATGAGCGCCTGGAGTCCTCGTACCGTCCGGCAATCGGGATTCAGTATTGCCTGGGCCAAACTGGTCACGACCAACGTGGAGTCCCTACCTGTGCTGCCTACAAACCGAGATCGTATAACGTTGTTACGGAATTCATTACGGAATTGGTATCTCGAAGGAAACGAGCGAATGAACACGATATGCTTTCGTAACAACTAAATTAATTATTCATTTGCTGCGTATACGCTGTACCGTGCACTAGTACGGCCGCAGCCTCTTGATGCAGGCATTGCGCGGTGACGCAAGCGGCATTTAAAGCGCTCTGTACAGCAGTTAGCCACCCGCTGCTGTCCAGTTTCGACAGCCACTGCGAAGTGGAGCTGTTCACGTCGTTGCAAGCCTCTATCAATCTGTAGAAACTATCGGCCAGATCGTGCGGCCGAGGAACCGCTTTGTGTACTTTACGCCATTGCGGATAAGCCGTGTCCATCTCCGTGCCGCCGCCTCTGGCTCTGGCACTCTGCGCCTGATTAACCGATCTTGTGTCCACTATGTAACTACGTATAAAATCCCAGGACTGTAATAAATATCGGGAAATATCTATTTGGAAAACGTATGTTAGCTGTACTTACCCACGCCTCCCAGGGCCCAGAACTGCGTTCAGCAGTTTTTCATCTTCCTTGCACCTCTTGCCGGTAGCACCGCACAACGGCTGACTGCTTCTCAATAGTATACTCTGCAATAAGATGAACAAAGTAAAGCATCGAATAGACTTTGTAATTTAACATAGAGGAGAGTTCCCTATTATGAAATAGGCTCCTAACGTGAGATAGCAGGATCTCTGCTAAATTAATATCGCGTCTTGGTCCCATCATGAATTTATCGCCCTTGGAGTAAAGACTGTTTAGTGGAAAATTGACGGTCGGATCGTGTAATCGTTGCGAAAGGAAAAGATCTGATTGAATTTGGTATCTCGTATTGGAATCCTGTCTCATAATAGAAGGGACTTTCCGTTACGTTCACTACTTACTCCTCCCTCGTGTCGGTAACATAACACGGGGAACCTTCCGCCGTCCCTAAAGCCAGCCGAGGCTATTACAACTTTGTCGTCCACTTGACGCGGCACTATGACCGCCGACGGATACGAATTGCAGACTTTGTAGTCTCTGTTGAGGTAACTGATACGCCACTCGTCCCCGTGAGCCGCCAACAATCTGGACCACTCGGAGACGGGCGCGAACGCCGTCCAGCCGTCCTCTACCCGCACCATAATGTTGTTGCTCGTCTGCGGCCGATAGAAGAACGGGTATTGTAGAGTTTGGTCTGCAATGTAAAGGACAATTGTACGGTCTCGTTGTCGAGCAACGCGTCGCGGATGTTAACAAATTACCTAGCGATATTAGCTTCTCTATGGACAGCGTGGCGTTGATTAAATCGTTAGTGGAGCCGATATCTAGCTGAAGGATCTGGAAGTCCTTGCACTTCAATATTATGCTACCGCCTGGACTCTGGGCGTTCAGTTTCTTCTCGACGACGTCGATGTTCCTGTTCATCAGCTGGCGAAAGGAGAAGGACACAGTGAGATTGATTCAAAGAGGTGAGCGCGCTCGAAAATTATTAGAGCGAGCTGCCAATCTTTCGAAACACATTTCTCGAAGTACATCGCTCGCCCTCAAAACCAAGGACACAGAACAATACTCGGCAACAAATTTAGACACTTTTCTCCCGTACTTTTGCAACTGCACCCCTCGACGCGCAATCTACACGCGATTAACAACTCATCGACGCCTACCCAAAACTCCTGGCCGTCGTCCTGCCTGGAGGACAGGATGAGGTGGTGGCCGCTGATGCACAGCGTCCCGTCCATGCTCTTGTTACCGCCGTCGCTCTTGTCGACCAGCACGACATTGTCGACTTGCGGGATTAGTATGTTATCGCCGATGTGGTCGCCCATTGTAGTCCTTGGCTCTCTACGCCGACGTGTCCCTCGCTGAGATACGAACGCCTTGACGGTACGACATAACCTAAGCGGTCCGCTGCCCCCGTCGGACTGTCACGGGGGTGGATTCCCGAGGCATGATCCGCGCCCGCTGGCCTCGAGCTCCCCCTCGGGCGGAGGTTAACACCACGGCGAGCGATATCGGTCCCAGCGACTCGCCGCCCGCGCGCCGTTCCCCATTTATCTCGCTCGCGACCAGATAAAGCCACAGCTGTTGTGCGACTTGTTTACTATCTCAACGCGATCCGTAATCCGTCATCGGCCGCCGTGGTGCATCGCTTCGGCTCGCCGCGATATCGCATCGCCGCAGTGGGGAGACGGGAAAGGGGAGAGAGAGAGAGAGAGAGAAAGGTAAGTTAGGTTAGGTTAGGTTACGGTACGGCGCACCACGTGACCGCGAATACATAACCTAGCGGACACCTGGGCGACACGGGAGGGACGGTGCGGCGACGGGGACTCGGCCTGTCGTTTCTGATCCGGGCGAACGAGGGGACGTCGCGCGGGCGCGACGCCGAGGCGACATGGCGATTCCACGATCGGTGGTCTATGCGCGGGCGGGCGCGCCGACCGAACGGCGCGAACGTTGCCGCGGGACGGCAGCGCAGAGGCTCTCCCCACGACGTCCGGATCGCCGCTGCCTTCCGGGAGGAGGAGGAGGAAGAGGGAGGCGAGGCGCGGTACGTGCGCACCACGTTCGTGTGCCCTGTAAATGTCGGCTCTCTCGCCACTCCGTTACACCCGCGCGACGACAATGCAGCGATAACAGTTGTCAGGGGGCTACAGAGGTGAGCCGCCAGCCCCGGTTTTCCCCGCCACGGCGCGCCGACACGACGTGTTTCTCGCTCGACGTAATGTGGTATTATTGTCTGTCGCTTCATTTACATCCCCTGTCCGCGGGGCGGCTTCGCGGTCGGGGACGGAGTTTCTAACTGAAATACAATGTTCATTCCTCAGCCTCGTCGCACCGCCGAAGGAGTCGCGAGGCGGGCCCGCGAGATTGGACAACGGTTGACAGTTGTCTCCTCCTCCGTCGGCAGGGACGAGTGGGAGCGAGACGGAAGGTAGCAACCGGACGGGGCGTCACGTGACCCGCGACGGCTCGCCGTGAGGGACACCGTCGAGGGATGGCGCCACCGGCAGCGGTTAGGGATCCGGCGGCCTAGGCGAGGAGAGGAAGAGTCGAGCGATTCTGGCGTGGAGGCCAGTCGGTTCGTCGTCGCGCTGCACAGGCTCGAGTGGCGGGCGGTGACACCGCGTTCGCTTACGCTCGCGATCTTCCGGTCCGCTCCGGCAGCCCGCGGCGGCGGCTTCGAGGGGTGCTCCGAGGCGGTCAATCGCGGCCAGTAGCGCACAGAAGCGTCGCGTCCGGAGTCGCTGCGAGGTAAAGGACCTGTTTACGCTCGACACCTCGTGCGCGCTCTCGTCAGCGCCTGCCGCGGCGAGGCTGCTGATGTATCTTGACGTCCAATTGTTACTGATTGTTGTTATTATCGTGCGAAGTCTGGCAAACGCGAAGATTATGTAGAGATAACACCGTTGCCTGTATCCTTGTAGATTTATGTAGATAGACTGCGCGTCCTTATGGCTACGCTGAAGATTACACTGTGAAAGATAGAGATAATGCATGAGTGACGCTTTCTCCTTCACTTTTTGTTAACAGTGGGGAGAAGACGGTGCTTAGACAAAGACACGCTCGTCTAGGCTGGAGACCCTGTAATCAGAGACTGGCCATAAGCGAGCTGGTCAAATTCCTGCGAGTCGGAGAGAAACGTAGGCTATCTCACTCTTCTACGATCGCGACGATCGCAGGAATTTGACCAACTCGCTTATGGCCAGTCTCTGATTACAGGGTCTAATTCAGGCTGTTGCTCGCTCTCTCTCTCTCTCTCTAATTTTAATGTAATCATAGGCTGTTTTGCCAAACCTCTGCTTAGCTAAGCGCACGCAATCGGCGAGCGTCTGCTTGCAAATATTGGGACAGAGGCGCTGAGGCTGCGTCAAGCGGCACTGCAATCGTTAACTGCTTAGCCAGCGGAGGCAAAACGTGGCCATAGCACAACTAGTAGATCCACCCCGTCATTTGTTTTGTTTTGCGTCGCGATCCCTTCTGCACATCCGACATTGCTCTGGGCAGACCGATCAAAGTTGTATACGCGGTAGTTGTGGCTTCGACGAGTACGTGTATAAACACACGTCGCTGGATCCTGTCCGGGTGTATGGCGGAGTACCACGTGATCGCGACTGCAAAGATCCAAGGGGCCGGCAGAGAGTGGAACTCCCAGTTATACTATGATGATAGTCGTCGATTCTTGCCACGGGACGCGCAGTCTATTTGTATAAGTCTATGATCCTCGTATGCGAGTCGCATTGAAGTACATGTACAATACCTAGCTGTGTAATCTAGTCGAATAGCTTGCGGCAACGGCTCCTGTTGCCTACACAGCATTACGGACAATTCGACGGTTATATAAATAAATTATGTATGCGAATCTGCGAGATGTACTTCTGTGGACCAACTAGGTGCTTTCTTCCAAAGGTGATGACCAAAATGGCGTCCCGCGAGAGCGGCGAAGGCTCTGCGAGATCTCCCAGCGCAGACAAAGCAAATACGACGGCGCGGCCAGAGATGGACGAGAAGAAATCGCCAGCCGCTACGCCGCCAGTCGATCGGCACGAGACGGGAGACGCGGCTGTCGAGGAAGAGAAGAAGAATTCAACAGCGGGCGCAAACGATGTCTCTGCAAGCGTACAAAAAACTGATTCTGATGATGCGCAAAGCGAGAGCGACGATCTGAAGCCATTAATTGATAAGATTCGGCAGGACGATAAGAATAAAGCGGACGGGAAACGAGAGGTGCAAAATCCAGCCGCGCTTGCGGATCCGCCAAGTACGGACGATGAAGACAATGAAATTAAGAGCGAAGATGACAAAGACTCTTCGACAAAAGAGGGATCCGTTTCGAAACGAAAGCGAAAGACTTTAAGGTTAGTATAGAGCAGAGACCCTGTAATCAGAGACTGGCCGTAAGAGAGTTTTCGTCGAACTCCCGCGAGTGAGAGATAAACACGGACTATCTCGCTTCTCTACGATCGTAGAGTCGTACAAGGGTGAGATAGCCTGTGCTTATCTCTCACTCGCGGGAGTTCGACGGAACTCTCTTACGGCCAGTCTCTGATTACAGGGTCTCTAGTATAGGCGTAATTCAAAAAGCTGCAATTTGGATGTAAAAAATGAGACAGACACGTTGATACTCTCAGCAACCCGATGGCGGAATCTCCCGCGGAGGAGGGCGGCACCAGGAGCAAGAGGAAGAAATTGAAGACCGGCTGCGACCGATTTTGTTGGCGGTGTCACAAGGAGAAAGTTGACGCTTACTGCACCGCCTGTCCTCGCGCCTGGCATCGTAAATGCATTGGCGGCATGCCGTCGTCATTGGAGAAGTGGATATGCGGTGAATGCGCGGCCATCTTGAAGGCCGACAACGCCGAGACGCGTTCCCTGTCCATGGCACAATTGTCCATTGATCAACTGTGCATGTTGCTCAAACACGTGGTCGAGAAATTGCGCGAATATCCTGGTGTACGTGCATTCCTTTTCGTCTGCGCCAAGCAGTGTACTGCAATTTATCGCGTTATTCGTTTACTGATTTCATGCATTTCTAATTGATCTTTACCCTTTGATGTAGTCCGTACCGTTTTGCAAACCAGTGGACCTCGTAGAAGTGCCAACTTATTTAGATTACGTTGTCAAGCCGATGGACCTGAGCCTCTTGGAGTCGAATGTGCGAGCTAAGCTCTACGGCAGCACCGATGCGTTTATGGCCGACGCAAAATGGATTCAACATAATTGCGTCGTATTCAATACGTGTACGTGAGCTCGCGCGCTTTTAAATTTGCCAAAATCACGAGTATTAAAGTTAAGCGAGCAAGCCTATTGCGTTTATCGATGTTTCTAGGCGGTGGAGTTTACGCAGATACGTCGAAACTGACGAACACAGCTAAGCAGATGATAAAAGTGGCGCGTTCGGAAGTTTCGGAGATCGAGGCGTGTCCCGACTGCTACGCGCATGGTCGTAACTTGCCCAGGCCTCAACCCTCGTGGTTTATCGAGCCATGCCATCGACCGCATCCGCTCGTGTGGGCCAAGCTCAAGGGCTTCCCGTTCTGGCCAGCAAAGGCGATGCCACGCGTAAATTCTCAAGGTTTCGTGGACGTGCGCTTTTTCGGCGAACACGACCGTGCTTGGGTGTCGCCGAAGGATCTCTTCTTGTATTCCGAGGAGCCACCCGGACCAACCTCCCGTAAACGGAAATCCGACGTGGACGAGTGTGTACAGGAGGTCAATCGACACATCAGGAAGCTCGCGCTCATGTTTGGCCAGTTTAAGTATGCGCTACCGAAAATTCAGTACGAACCGAACAATCCGCTGCAGATACAGCTGATGCTACCGAAATACAATCCCTTTGACCCCAACAATCCTTTGCCCAGTCCGGAATCTCCTCCAACTCAGAAGAAGAAGGCGCCCCAGAAAAAACGAAGCCTCATTAAAGGTAAATCGCAGGCTGACGAGTCGATTGATATTAGCGAAGTAGATACTGACTCGAAAGGCGATGCTCGTGAAGAGGAGAGTGAAGCTACATCACCAAAAGTACAAAAATTAGATACCGATGTTAAGGATACTTCGCAAGCTAATCTAGATGGTAGTCGTACTAAATTAAATAAGAAAGCAGATCAAGAAAGTGTAAAGTCGTCCTCCCGGGAAGTTGCTCAAAACAAGACGGTGAAAGAGGAGAAGTCGAAAAATGTGAGAACGTCTCGCTCAAATGTCGCGCTCACGGATAACACCGCCGAAAGTAATAGCACGAGTCCAAACACCGGTATCTCGGATAAGAACAATTCGCCGAGAGCGAAGAGCAATGCGAAGTCGCCTACAAAAAATTCGCCTAAGACCGCGACGCAGCCGGTCGCCGAATCGTCCGACACTACGCGAAAGAAGGGCCTCTTGAAAAATATTATCAACCCGAAACTGGCGCTCTCACAAATGGACAGCCCGAAAGTGGCTACGAAGAAGAACAGTAAAGTGCTGAAGCCGAAAACGAGGCTCGTTAACAAACTGAACGCGGAGAAGGAATTGAAGGCTGGTTCCGCGAGTAAGGAGAATGAGAAGCTCTCCAACTCGAGCAAGGTCATTCCCGGGATTTCGCTGCTGATGAATAACAAGGAATTGTCGAATGTGCAGAAGAGCATACCTGAGATCGACATTACGCTGTCGCCGCCTCTTACACCGTCGAAAGCGAGTGTCGCTCATGCCATCCCATCGGCGAATCCGATCGTTCCCATCACGGATAAATCCGTGTTGCTTCTCGTGGTGAACGGGACGGCTGCTGAACCCGCGAAGCAGATCGAATATCAAGGCAACAAGGATATGTTCTCCACGACGAAGGAGGGACAGCGTAATTTGCCTAGGAAGGAGAGCAAGGCTAGGAAGACCTTTCCTGGTAGATCGCACAATTCACAAAACGTTCAATTGCCGTTGTCGGACGTGGGCGGGATTATTCAGGTTTCTCCGGTCAAGCAAGAGACGTCATCCACGTATCAGCTGCTACCTCCGGAGGCCGGGCCGATCAGCGCGCGTTTGCATCGTGATGTGCACGATCTCGCGAGCAGAATGGGCCAGTTGATGGAGGAGGCGTACAAGGCCGCGGGCAACATTAACAACGAGAACGCTGACAATTATCAGGCGACCATATTCTCCTTGCGGATGCAGATCGAGCGTATGAAGTGGCAGCATCAGCAACAGCTAGCCGAGTTGAAACACAACGCCGGTATACCTGTCTTTTCTTTCTTGCGAAAGTCGTTGGATAGTTGATTGTCAAAAAAAAGAAACGTGAAAAACACTGCAGGAAACGTTATAAATTTCAGATCGTACCATGTTTGAGATGCGCGCGAGTTTAGAAGCGGAGAGATTGCGATCGGTCGAGGAAGTTCGCAGAGAAGTCGAAGACGAAAAGGCCCGATGTATCGAGGAGACCAAGCGGAAGCAATGGTGTGCCAAGTGCGGGCAGGAAGCGATGTTTTACTGTTGCTGGAACACTGCTTATTGCAATTATCCGTGCCAGCAGTCGCACTGGCCTACGCACATGCGAACGTGTTCTCAGCAGTCCGGGTACACTACCGTCGTCTCGGGTGCAAATCCGCCGCAGGTGATGCCCAGACTCACATTAAGCTGATGACTTTGAGCTTGTGGAGAGCCTAGAGTGAATTAGTGTAAGTCTCAGCGGTTCAAATGGAGGGTTCGGCAACCTGAAAGTGCTGTAATAGAAATATATCGTTCTTATTTTATTTCACATCGAGAAACTTTCTTTTTTTAATTGTAAAAATCATTTGTGATAAAGCAGAATGTGGCTAAAGAAATATTGAGACTATACAGTCTGCTAGATTTGCTGACAATTCACGTTTTATCGATCCCTATCAGAGTTCCATGTCCACAGATTAACTTACACTATTGACACTCTGGACGCTTCAAAGCTGAATTTTGTTTTGAGTAGTTTTCGTCTCGCACGATTGAACTGCCGCAATTGTTGTTTTGCAATAGCTTAAAAGTATTTTACTTTTCAGAGCAATAACGCCGTGACACACGATTCTACGGGCAAAACGTATTCTCTGTCACCCAGCAAATTGAGTGGAGTTCCGCTATCGTCCGCTGGATCTCTCAGAAATAAGGCCGATCAGGATACGCTGTAGGCAGCTCGCAATTTCTTTACAATCGGTTTGATATTGACGCGCGAGTAAGGTGAAAAGATTTGCAGTAGCACCGTAGGTAAATTTATATCTACAAACAACCGGCGAGTCTCGATTTAGATTAAACTGGTACGTTTGCGATCTGAAATCGTTTCGTTTATGTATTATAGTACGTAGCTAATTTCTTTTATTGATCTTGACAGTTTAAATTACGCGATGTAAATAATCGGAGCGATTAGTATTTTTGACGTCAGATCAATATTAAAACATTAAGTTACAAAAGACTCGAAGATAATGTTGAAGTAAGATTTATATAATAAACTTATACTCGTTCAACCGACTTATTGTTAGTAAAAAAAGTAATAAAACTATTTAATAATTATAGAAAGTGCGAAAGATGTAATGAACTGCGCTTAAGGAAACGTTAGGTACAGTCCTGGTGAAGAAGGTTGCCCGACGTTTTATGATCAATTTTGAAAATGCAGTCTATCATGCGAGAGATTAAAACTTTTGCTCACGGATATGTGCAGTGACGCAGTATTAGAGTAAAGGAATGATATGTACGAACATACATAGAATGACACAAACGAGTATTCTACAAACTTATTGTCGGGGACAACCTTTCTGACCACGACCGTATCTTTAGATACGAGCGGATAATATGCAGTATAAGAACGTCGTTTAATGTGATTAAGGTCCGGTTTCACCAACGTCGCTTATCTAATTTATCTTATCTATTTAAGCTTAGTCTAATTCGTTCTTTGTCTCTTTCCAACTTTACGAAGGAGACAGAGAAATCAAGCTTAAAGTTGAACGACGGTGAAACCGGGCCTAAGCATTGTAACAATCTATTTCCGTTGGAATTTGGTAACACTACTTTTGTAATTATACACTTCACGTAATTTCTCAGTTCCTCTATAGGCGCACTTGAAAGACGCGAGATAAGAGATAAGAATTATTTTTTCTATCGAACCTCATGACGTAAACACGCCTCTGACGTAGAATGATCGACATGATTGCGAAGAGCGCGGATGAGCGCTCACAAAAATTCAACTCTCTCGGTTAAGTCTGATGCGAGAGAGGCGTGTGACGTTTAGACGTGAATAATTTTCAACGCGTTTATTAATAAATCGTCGAGCAGATATATGTTGACATTTGTACTGCGCATCTTCCAAATGGCCTTGTCCCGCCGACAGTCTTTCACTTTCGTCCCACAAACATGTAATTTTCTCTCTCCGGTTATACATTAAATTCAATTTACAAGTATTCGCGGACGGACGGACGACAGCTCTGGGGCTCGATTCTTGAATTTGTTCGAAGGAAAAACGTATGCGAAAATTCTGCTCTTACAGAAAAGTTGCAAGTTGATCGGCTATTCGCGTAGCTTCAACCAATCGATTTTCAACTTTTCTGTCAGAGCAGAATTTTCATATACGTTTCTTCTTTGAATAAATTCAAGAATCGGGCCCCTGGGGCCGAAGAAGAAACGTATACGAAAATTACCAGGGTTGTGTAGTGTCTAGTTAAAAAAGATAAAAGTTAAGTTAAAGAATTAAAAGGTTAAATAATTTTAACTTAACTCGATTACATTATAGCCTGTTAACTTTTAACTGAATGTAGTTGCATTTTATCGGTAACTTTTAAACTTTTAATTTACCTTTCTTAAAGTTAGCCGTGCTATAAACCGAGGCATTACAAGACGCCGCGCGTCTGCCTACATTGGTAGTTTCGGTGTTCGAAAATTCGTTGCCAGCGCTAAAAATCTGCAATACACGTTACGTGTGCTGTAGATCTTCAGCGCTGACAATGAATTTTGGAACACAGCCATTACATGGGGTTTTGATTCTCGAAATCACGTGAAATTGTTCATACATGAAACGGGCCATATTCCGCGTTTGTATTGTGATTGATTGTCCAAACGCTGGCCGTGAAATTCAATTTACGTAATCGCGAGTCTGAGATTTTATATCAAAATAAATTTAACTCAACTTTTTAATATCCTTTTATTATTAACTTAACTTTTAATTCAATTAATTTTATTATGGATTAACTTGTGTCTTAACTAAGTTAAATTTTCAAGGCTGTTAACTTTAACTCAGCTTAGTTAAAAAAGAAAGATAACTTACCCAACCCTGGAAAATTCTGGCTCTGACAGAAAAGTTGAAAGTCGAAATTGGTTAAAATCACCACGCGAATAAGCCAAATCAACTTGCGACTTTTCTGTAAGAGCAGAATCTCCGCGTGCGTTTCTCCCCTTCGAACAAATTCGAGAATCGAGCCCCCGTAGCCGTCAAATAATTTGGGGTGTAAAAATTCAAGTGCGGCGGATAGAAACGTTTTCGAAGTTTCGCGCCCACGACGCGGCAATTATTTCGCGCAATATGGCGAGCGGAAGTGACGTCACCCAGTGCCAACTGCCGGCCAACGGGGCTCTGTGGTCGGGCTGCCCTTTCTATGGGAGGAAAAGCACTTTTCTCCGTCCCCGCGGCCTCCGTACACTTTTTTCACAGTGGGTACGTGAAACTTACGTCGACACGGGCGAGTAACGGGCCTGCGGTCGTCACTTTTTAACGTGACGCGCGCGATTTTCCGAAAGGTCGGCCGTGTCGGTCTCTGCGTCTCGTTAAGAGGCGCGAGAGAGAGAGAAAGAGAAGGGAGGAGAGGCATCGCGAGAAACCGTAATTGCCTGGTGTCAGTTAACGCGAGGGAGCGAGAGCGAGACGGAGAGCCGTCGAGTCCTCGGGTTAACAGATCCACTCGTCAATCATATGGCGAGAGAGGCGAGCGAGTCGTCATAAATTCCACATCGCAGTTCCGTTCCGCCTCGTCTGCACTTTTCTGCACCCGTCGCGTGTAAGGTTGAGCCGAGCCGTCGCGAGATTAAGACTGTCAGCGCGGAGCACGAGGCTCTCGGGGAAGGTGAGGACGAGTGCAGCCGAGAGGAATCGAATCGCTGGGACACGCGGGTGCGTACGGTACGCTCGGCGGCGGCGTGGCCGCCACCGCGTCCCGATCCCGGTGTAGAAAGTTCAAGGTTGCGAGGGCGGTTTTACAAAGAGTCCGGGGGAGTCACGTCGGCCGTGTCACGTTGGCAGACGGTGATCCCCCTGCGTTAACGTTCGCCTTTACTATTCTTGCAGAGTCATTCGTTAGTTAATGCACGCACAGCACGGCGGACGTCGCATAATCGCAGCTACAAGTATGTTTTTTGTTGACTGGCTCACCGGAGTGCTGAGTTATCTCGGTGAGTACAATTCCTCCTGCGTTAATCCGCCGCTACGCGAGCTTGAGTCTAGATCAAGCAAATCTCCGTCTCATTGTCGTAATCGCGATGTCGTTCCAAGGATGATAGATGCGCGGCCGAAAGCGATCCTCTCGTTGGAACGACCGTTTGAAACGCAATATTGAAACGTAGTTTCATCTCTTATTCTTGAGGGGAACATTCGCGGAACAACGTCTTATCGGTTTTAACAGGAATACTCTTGTTAAACGCTCGTCATTACGCGTCGTTATCTGAAGACATGGATACACCTTGTGCAAATTGTCGTGGAACATTCGGCTGGTGCGTCCAAAGCGAACGGCACACGATACTGTTTTTCCTACTGGATTGTTAATGAGAGCCTGTCCAGGATTTAGCTTCAATTCGCCTGATCTGTCGCTCTGTGCCACTTATTGCGTTTCTTACGGCAGCGCAAATCCAGAACGGTTTCGCTTCTCGGTAAATCTGCCGCACGTTTGACTTGTACAAATCTCCCTTGCTGGTTTCAGGATTATGGAGGAAGAGCGGCAAGCTTCTCTTCTTGGGTTTGGATAACGCGGGCAAGACAACGCTGCTTCATATGCTCAAAGACGACCGTTTAGCTCAACATGTACCCACGTTACATCCAAGTAACTAAGTTTACATCATTCCGTCGCGTCTCAATCCTGTTTTGTAAAAATACATACCTTTGTATACGTAGAGGCAATTCTTTCCTGATAACTTAATCATCCCGTTTTACTGGAAACTTCAATTTTCGTAATATTTGATTGAAGACACACATAGAGAAAAGTCCCATATTATGAGACAGCAGTTTTTCAACGTCCAAATTCAATCGCGAATCTTTCTTCGCGCCGATTACATGGGAACTTGTCTCGTAACAGGGGACTTTCCTCTGTGTCTCCTACTTTTAAGTGCAAAACACAAGCTACGCTTCTTTTTCAAACTATGTCTTCATTGTGCTACAACAAATGAGCAATGAGAATCGGAATTTTACCGAGTTGTCGTCAATAATTTATTTTGCGTTTCAGCATCTGAAGAATTGTCTATCGGAAACATGAGATTCACAACTTTTGATCTCGGCGGTCACACTCAAGGTACGCGGGAGAAATTTACGTCTTGCGAAATGTTTTATCCCAAGCATAGCTTGCTCATACCTCTGCGAATTGTATGTCTGCAGCACGTCGCGTTTGGAAGGACTATTTCCCGGCTGTCGACGCGATAGTGTTCCTCGTCGACGCGAGCGACAGGATAAGATTACCAGAATCAAAGGCCGAGCTGGATGCGTTGTTAACTGACGAGCAACTTAGCGCGTGTCCGGTTCTCGTGCTAGGTAATAAAATCGACAAACCACTCGCGGCTTCTGAAGATGAACTCAGAAACTTCTTTAATCTCTATGGACAAACAACAGGAAAGGTACAGCCGCCCGAAACAACAGTCTACTGTATTAGTGTAGTAATTGCATCGGTAGAGCGATGGCATTTTTGTCGGACGTTACTCGGAGATACAATTGTAATGTTTTAGGCTAAAATTGCCCGCAGCGAAATACCTGGCCGTCCGTTGGAACTGTTTATGTGCTCAGTCCTGAAGCGACAGGGATACGGGGAAGGCTTCCGTTGGCTCGCACAGTATATCGATTGAACGTATATATTATTATACATGACAAGAGATTCTCAACAGTTTCATCATACATTTCCCTTTCCTGTTGGTAACGGCGCCGCTACCGGAACTGTAATCTTCACACATGAATTCAGCAGTAGGAGAGGAAGTATCGTTTCATCCGAAAACACAAAACTAAAAAAAAAAGAACAGTAACCGAAATTTAAGACGATTTTCCCAAATAGAGACACGAGACGAATATTCTCGAGAACATTGTACGCGCGGGGGATAGGACAGATTTCCTTTCTTTGACGTTGGTACACGAAAATCACAGCAAACGTCATCTCTTTTCCTCAATACTTCGAGCCCTATACGGATTTCCCATTCTGTGGGAACTTATCATTTTGCGAGTCACATTAGGGGAATGATCATTGATACGTGCTGAAGAATGAAATAAAAAAAAAACATTTTGATAAAATAAAACTAATAAACTATTTAAGAATTCCAAGTGTTTTGTAGATTTATTTTTGGTGATTTCTTTTTAGTTTTCTTACACGCAAAAAAGAAATCTGTTGTAACGCAGAGTAATATAGGCAATCGTCGTGGCTTTTGAAAACTTGAGAGCTTACGGTACGCAATTTCTTTGGAAGTTGGATTGATTTGTTAACTGGTACTGTCTCTACATGTGCTCTTTGCTTTTCTTCTCGTTAATTTAAATTGTAATTAAAATCGTCAATTGACACTGCTGAACGCCGTTCATTATATTATATTTAGTTGCTGGTGTTTAATTTTTTTATGTTGTATTTTTACTACAGTCTTATATTTGTGCCAACATTTTGTATATATTTTTTGAAAAACCACTATTCATGGAACGTAGGATACGTACGAGTAATCTGTTCCTTTTGGAAACGGTTACGAAAATCTACTAAACCAATTGAAATTATTAAATAGAACGATTACATCATTTCTTAGCAAATTGTTGAATTGCTTATCTCAGTTATAGCTGATGTATTAAATTACTGTTATAAGTTGAAACTGTTCACAAATAATGTAGATAGCGGGAAAATTTTGTTAATTTGTTGATGGTGAATCTAGCTTAATAAATCTTGGAGTTGCTTCCAAAATAAAAAAATCAAAGTCACAAACACGAAAATTAATATTTTACGTGATAGTACTTAGGTTGTAAGTACTTATGTTTTCTTCATTTTGCACCAATAAAATGTTTTATATTTCACACGATTGTATGGTGCGCCATTTACAAAGACATGGTTTCTGGTAAATTAATTTGCGGTATAAATCTGTTGCAAAAAATATAGGAAATTAAACCTGAAAGAGTTAATGTTAACAATTTTAATATAAATCTCAATCTGTACAAAATTAGGGTATAAAAATAATCTTTAGGAACTTGTTTTCATAACAATATATATATATCCACAGTATATATAAGACACTTGTCTTAATTCCTACAGTTTGCTGACGCACAACTGCAATTCTTTCTCCGCAGGAAGCGCCGCGAATCGTTTATCTACATATTCATTCGTTACATCAGCCAAGGATATCGGCTTCCATACTGGTTTCTGATCTTTGTCGACCAGGAGAGCTCTGACACCTGCGATTAAAATGAAATATTAATCTAGGAACAAGATTTACAAGACGCATGCTACATTCTACCTTGTACCTTCATAGAAATCGCCGTCTCTAGTCAGGGCCGTGCAGGCCAATCTATATTCGATCTTTAAACAATCCGTTAAAGATTTTCCTTTTCCTTCGTCGATCGCCTTTTTACTAACTTTGAGGGAGGACGGAGACATTTTGAGTAGTGTCTCCACGTTCTTCTGTGCCCAATCCGAATTATCTTTCTTTAGCCTTCAAAAAGTTTACACGTTGCTGCGTTACAAATGGAAAAATGTCAATTCAATTAACTGGAATGTCCGTAGTTTACCTCTCGACTATCTCTTCGACGGATGGAGCAGAGAAGCAGCTCTCTATCTGCGACATATGAGGCGCCAAGCTGAATTCGTGATTTAACTTCGGTTGATATTTGTTTAAAATGGGTTCGATGTCGTTGTCGCGTAACGTTAATAAATCGCGTTTTAAGTCCGCAAGTTTCTCCGATGGTACAAAGTGCGTCGCGATTCCAGCCAGGAGAACATCGACACCTTAATAAAAAAAAAAAATATATATATATATATTAAAAAATGCATATACGTACAGGAGTGAACGCAATATAAAATATAATTCAAGTTGTACCTTTCAACCTGTGTCCCGTGAGACCCAGGTAGGTGCCCAGTCTTCCCTTCAGTCTAGACAAGAAATAAGTCGCGCCGACATCGGGAAACAGTCCTATCGCCGTTTCCGGCATGGCGAAGAGGGTCTTCTCCGTGGCAATTCTGTATTTGCCGTGTACAGACAATCCAACGCCGCCTCCCATCGTTATTCCATTGATGATAGCAATGTACGGCTTCTTATACGTCCCGATGAGATGATTCATGCTGGAGGCAAGCAAGTCCTTTCTGTTCATATGCAAATAGACGAGAGGATACACTCGATACCGACTGGATACTCTTGCAACTTACGTATACTCCGTTCTGAAGAACTCCTCACCCAGGAGGTTCCCTTCTGGTTCGTTCAACGCCAGGACGAGCGACTTAACGTCACCGCCCGCGCAAAACGCTTTATCACCCGCGCCTTCTACTATCACCAGTTTCTTGGAAGATTCCCACTGCTTGAGGGCGGAATGTATTTTCTGGATCATGGACAAATTTACGGCGTTCAACGCCTTAGGCCGGTTTAAAACTATCACGCCGCTGTCTCCAACCTGTTTGCACGTAAGATTAATCTTAATGTCCGAGGAACCAACAGTATTCGGCGAAGGAAGACATTCTGAAGTGTAATAATGCGCAAACGTACGTCTTTTAGAAGAACCTCGTCCATCGCTTGAGCACTGGCCGCTTCTTTAGACGCTGGAATTGCAGGATTAACTTAGAATCTATTTGCGAGGAAGAACAACGATATAAATGTAACGAGGAGGATTCTTTAGGCTTGTTTTCTGTTGCTACACTGGTGAACTAGTGCAATAAGTTAGAGTAGGACAAGCATATTTTTTCTCATTCTAGCTTACTGCACTAGTTCACCAGTGCAGCAATAGAAAACAAGCCTTTTCTTTTACGATACACCACGAATTGGTACGCTAAGAAGGCGAATATTACTGTACTATTATACGGGCAGTGTTCATTTGATATTTATGCAATTTTCAAAAGTACGTTTCCATTTGCGCGGAAAAAGAGGGCAAGATCCTTAGCGATTGCACGAACAGCCTGCGGTCTCACCCGTGGCGGAGCCTGACGTCGATAAACATCTAACAACAGCACGTGCGATCGTAGCACCAACGCTCGAATAATGTAGTTTTCCTACGATGCTCTGCATCTGAAAGAAATAATTACGACGCGTGTCAGTGGTCCGACGCGCAAGTTTCCAGCTCGTGCTCCACGTCGAAATTACCATATTTATTGTCTGAGCGTCGGAGCGCTACGTAATGCGACAGAGGTGCCGGAACATAAAATCCGCACTGTCGAAACTGCTGAGTGTTGGCCACCGTCACGACGTAACAGCCACGTTAATTGTAAGGCGATATTCATAACCCGCTGTTGTATGCAAAGTCCGGTTCGAGCTGGGGCTGTTTTGCGCACGCGCGGCGATACGACGTAAGTATACAGGGTGTCCTGAAATTCGCGAATCAAAATACCATAGCAAGAAAGTCGTCGAAAAAATAAATTAAAAAGTTATGTACCATTTTTCGTTCCGAGCAGTAGTTTTTTTTAGATAAAAAGGTTCAAAACAGGCCAATCATACATTACGGTTCTTGCTATGGTATTTTGATTCGCGAATTTCAGGACACCCTGTAGAGCTGCGTTTGTCGGAGGGAAAAGTAGTACGGGACTTTTTCTTTTACTTGATTTGGTCTGAGAAATATGCTGTTGCAATAGTGTTCCAATTATTGAAAATTTTTGTAACACAAAATTTACATACGACAAAAATTTTACAATAATTGGAGCACTATTGCAACAGCATATTCCTGAGACGAAATCAAGTGAAAAAGGTCCTGTACTACTTTTCCCTCCGACAAACAGTTATCGAGATATCATACTAAACATTGAAAAAGTTATAAATTTTCTCTTAAATATCCCAGAAAGCATTAGGCGAATCAAAAAATGTCTCGGACAAAAGATGCTCATATTATAATTAGTAGAATAAGATTATAGTGTAATAAACAATAGGGGGTTCCGTGAAAGAAATTGAAGGTGACCTTCGCGTGACCTTCGAGCAACTCGTCAAGGTCAAACTAATAGCACCATCTTATGTCCCCCTTCGAACCAAACAACTTTTGTCCGAAACGTTTTTCTCTGCGATCAAAAGTAAAAAAGTTATTTGGGGTGGGACGTTAAATTGGGACACCCGGTACAATCATGGTCTGCTAATTGGTCTTTTCAGGCTGCAGTCAACACCACGAGCGCTGCCATTAAGTGGCAGAATCCCGGTACTTCAATGACATATTTTGCACACGTGTAGTTGCTAGCATGATAAAACAGCACGGCATAATTCTATCTCGATGTCTCCTTTCCTGTTTTACCATAAAAATCTGACTTTGCGTTTCGATTTTCTGCCACTCGACCAATGGCGGCGCGCGTGATGTTGACCACAGGTTAGAATAGGAAAAGTGGAGGTAACTGGCAGTTCTAGTAGTCAAAGAGTTATACCATAGAGATATAAAAAAAAAAATATATATATATAAAATATCTCTATGAATTATATTATGACATAACCCTCCATTTCTTTCGCTCCGGTAGCCAACAGGTCCATCCGTCTGCGTGCTACGTGATCCAGGTTTAACGGCTGTTCCGCTGGTTCTATCGATTCGCCGTTCCGCCGGTTCTATCGATTCGCCGTTCCCCCCCGTTCATCGTGTTTACGTGACGTGGTGCGTGGTGGTCGCGCGCACGGGCAGTGTGGCGCGGTGTGACGGTTGACGCGCGAGTGGCCCAGCCGGTCGTGTTCGAAACACAACAGAGCTGGAGGTAGAAATTCTCGATTACTGTTGACCGGCACGCGCTCAGCTCTCCACCATGCTGCAGTCGATATTCGACGATGTGCGGCGTATGAACAAGCGCCAGGTAAATCGGCCCTCGCGACGACTACGACGACGGCCACGGCCGCATATGGTGGATAATTACGTGTATCCCGTCTGATTTCAGTTTCTCTATCAAGTGCTGAGTTTCGGCATGATAGTCTCGTCGGCGCTGATGATATGGAAGGGTCTGATGGTCATCACCGGCAGCGAGAGCCCCATCGTCGTCGTCCTGAGGTACGGAGCGTACCTAACCTAACTCGCGTCTACGTGTAGCGCGCGCTCTCCTGGTTAATTTTTAACTTGGTCGCACTCGCCGAGTTGAAATCGATACGCCCGCTTTCGTGGACGGTGTGCTAGATGTGTTTTGCTGTAAAGGAGTAACGTTTCTCGTTATCGGTACCTGTGGCGTATAAAATATGGAGATTTATTCGTAAGAGGCTTGATAATAGCAAAGTAATTGGCGGATGATATGCATTGCGATAGTGCTTGTTATTAATTAAACGAGAAACGTCGATTGGTAGTGTGTGACGGACTGGCACCAACTTGGCGCTCATCAATCCCTTCCTTTTACAGCGGCAGTATGGAGCCTGCGTTTCACAGAGGCGACTTGCTGTTCCTCACCAATTATCAGGACGAGCCGGTGAGAGTGGGCGAGATCGTAGTTTTCAAAGTCGAGGGCAGAGACATACCTATTGTGCACAGAGTACTTAAGCTCCACGAGAAGTAAGGGCACTCGCGATGCGAGTCTTGTCGACACAAAGCGTAAATTTGACGGGGAAACCATTCTGAGATGTGTGCGTGAATTTTCTAGGGGTGACCAAAATAATACGGTCAAGTTCCTCACGAAAGGCGACAACAATTCCGTGGACGATCGAGGCCTGTACGCGCCCGGTCAGCTCTGGTTGACGCACAAGGACGTGGTCGGCCGAGCGAGAGGCTTCCTACCATACGTCGGCATGGTCACTATATACATGAACGAATATCCTAAATTTAAGTATGCAGTATTAGCATGTCTTGGACTGTACGTTTTGGTACACAGAGAATAAAGCTGCTCGGCAAGTTTAAACGTTTATGTTATGATAAATCTGACTTCTAGGGGAATGCGCAATTTACTAATCGTTTAGACAAAAACGGATATGTACACACAATGCTATATATAACGGAATACATTTGCGCATAAACTTGATAGCAAGTATCGAGATGTTCAGGCCAAAGTGCATTTCTCTGTACATACGTTTCACGTATTCGAAATAGTCTGAAAAATTGAATTAGAAGCTTTGCTAGAGCGTCGTGAAAATTTATACTGAACATTTTGCCTCGATTTTCACAGCAAAAATACGACACTCGAAACGAATACTCTATACTTGATAATAAAGGACCATCGATGATAAAAGTACGATAAGCGATATAACTTTCTCTGTTCTCAAGGGCTCGAGGCGCGTACTCGTTTGATTACTACGGTGATTATGAGAGGCATTATTTCTAACTGTAAACATGCAAATCACGCGCAAAGGTCTAGAAGAACAAAGTTAAAAAAAAGCCCCGGCATTTCTTTTAAGAAACATTCAAAGTTCTGTTTCTCAGGTAATTACACATTTGTAAAAGTGACGTCATTTATGGTCACTGTTCGTGATAAGAATTTATGGCACACATATAGCGTTTATGTATATATTAAACTGTCGTTTATTTTTCACCGCTTCTACTCGATAAACGCGGCAGTGATATTATATTAATATAAAACCCGAAAGGTATCAATTTTTTTGTAATTCTTCGTGTAGCACGTTGTAATTACTTTTATCTCACGTATGAAATAAATTTGTAATATTTGGGTACAATACGATACTATAAATCCCTCAGTTTTCTTCTTTTCGAATTGACCCGGTAATACGAGCGTGTTCGCTGATAGCTATCAGATAATCAAATTGAATTACTCATCACACGCGACTTACCAACATATGTCACATATCTAGCGAACATATGTTGTTACCAAACCAAAATTACTTGTTATCAAATTCATAACGTACCTTTACATCGGCATTGCGTAATAATTTGTGACTTACTCATCTAGCTGACGAGAAAGATGTTATTTATTTGTAGCTACGTATTATTGAGAAAATATCCAATATTAACGCAATTCGAAGCGTATCCACAGCTCTTTGGGCATGACGATTATGCCCGATTCCTTATCGTTAAGGCTCGATGGCTCACCCTCCACGAAGAAGAAGTTGAAGTTCTGTAATAGAACAGCCAGTGTCCCGAACAAGTTGTATCTGGAATAAGTTTCTCCTATGCACAGTCGACGACCTATACAAAAGCGTGGAAATAAAATTATTATTTTATTCTTAAATTTAATCCGATGGATGCCTCACAGATGCAAAGAAATTCAGCAAAAATTGCTCAATCTCGTTAGATGATATATGTATGTATGTATGTATGTATGGTGATTTACCGAAACTGAAGGGAAGCGAAAAGTCTTTGACTAATTGTCCGTTCTCCTTCAGAAATCTTTCCGGTCTAAAAATTTCAGGATCACCCCATAAGTCGGGATCGTAATGCAGTGCCGCCAAGTTAGTGACAACCGGTGTGCCCGCCGGTATATCGTAGCCTTTTAATGTGGTATTTTCCGTGGCCCTGTGAATTATACTGAGCGGTAGGAGTGTTTCGATTCTCATCACTTCTCGGATTATCGCTTCCAAATAAGGCAAACTGAAACAAAATGAGAATAGATCTGTATTGCTCAACATAGCGTAAATAAAATTGAGTCTATGCTAACATTTGAAAGCAATAGTAATACTTTTTACGTATAGAAACTGAATTTTCTATATGCAAAAAAAAACAAGAAACTGTCTTGTAGCGTCATGCAGTGTATTGCAATATCTTCTTTTGACAACGAAAGAATGTGAATCGCCAGTAGTTGATTAACGATAAAAAGAATTGTTAGAGGACTTTAGGCTGGCAGATGGTTTCTTTATTTAAATCCGACGTTTCGACCATATGGGTTGTGGTCCTCAAGGAATTCAACAGTCTACAAGTTTAATTGCAGGACATTGCAACTCAAAAGTATGTTGACCACAAAATGAAATCAACGCAAGTCAATACAAGCAGAGTAAAATTCTTTTCGAAAACTTACAATATTACGTCATTGATATTAAACTAAAAAACACAGGAGTTTGACATCCATTTCTGGGCGTCATTCGGAGAACTATGTTGGAAGGCACGTCCGATGCGATGCAACTACTACAATAGGACTAAAGTCTAACGGTGGTGTATAGGAGATACGAAGAACATTACAATAAATAAATAAATAGCTATAAACCGAAGTCAGAGTCACAAGGATTAAACAAGAATAAATAATGAATATGTTCAATAGTTAATTAAATATAGTTTCAGATCAAGATGCCGAGTAGGTTAGTATGTAAAATTTAAAATTGTATTAAGCTATGAAAACGATTACCCTTTTCAACTCAAACTTCGCTTTTATTATGCAGTTTAATTTTTTTACTGAAATGCAGAACGATAAGATAATTTAAATGCTGAAGAAGTATTGTCGGTCAGACAGAAGTATGCTAATACTGCATCTTCTTAGAAGTCGAGATAAAATTATTTTTTATGAAACTTAAGATAATCCACAATAAAATACATAATCAGTTTTAATAATACATAAAATTTATTGCGAAAAATATTACCTCAGCCAGAGTTTGAACCTGGACTTCCCTACACTCTAGGCGGACGTCTCAACCAATTCGACCACCGAGGCATATGATAATATCAGTCGCAATAACAATATAAAAATGTTGTTAGATTATACTGTCAGTAAAGATCATTAATGTTGTTAATCACTGCTGGCGACTTTTAAGAATATTCTCTTTAGATAAGCAGTTTGATTTTAAAAAGTAGTAATTTTTGTAGCTTTGCGTATCCATTGCTAAGATCACGAGACGCGATAGTGTCTCGCGCCAAGTATAAGCGTAGCTAGAATATCTCATATCAATGATCTGATTCTTGTTGTTTATTCATTGCTAAAATATCTCATACCTTATTGTTTACTAATAACATGATTAAAGAAGAATATTGCTTTGTCTCCTTCAAGTGTACTAGTAACTCACTGTTTTCTATCTTCCCACGTGGCCAATCGTCCGGTCCCGACAACGTTATCTATGTCGTTTTGTACCTTTTCCATAACTCTAGGATGGTGCATCAAATACTTAATAGTATGAGTAATAGTGCCTGGTAGCGCTGAAAAAGCCGGCATCAGTATGTCGATTAACAAAATAATCAATTCTTCGTCTGTGAAACTATTCGCCTCATCTTCATTCATTTTCTTTAGATAATTATCGATGAATCCACGATCATTATTCTTGTCGAAAGTGATTTTGTGAAACTCCAAATGTTTCTACAAAATAAAATGCAATCATATTTTTAAAATAAAATGTCCAAACATTTTATTTTATATTTATATTCCGTGTTTAACAATTACATAAAAGTTGTTAAATTAAAATCGTTAAGTATAAGACTTGACATTGAAACCGAAAATTTAAATTTATCTAAAATTTATTAAGAAAAAAAGCTTAAACCGCGTATCTCTTCTTAGTTTGATCTAAAAGTAAATTTAAATTCTAAGCAAGCCACCAAATAAATTGCTATACAGTTTAATCTTAAAATTTTGAGAACGTGTGATTTAAACGTAGTACTTAAATGCACATTTGACAATAACAAATTTGATGCGAGTTTTCGATTATACTTATTTGATATATAACTTGCCTGGATAATTTCTTTTAATATGTTGCTTCCCTTCATGTGATTTTTATAACCAAACATATTACCAAAATATTTCAAAAATTCATACTGAAAAATGGCACCACCTGTTGTATCGTTTGCGCTTTGAAACAACGTAACTGCACGACCGAAACGTAGCAGAATATCGTGCTCGGTTCTATCAAGTCTGTAACCGAACAGAATGTTCCATATGTTGTTACCCGACGACGCGTACAGAATGTCCGGGAAAAGCGCCAAGTTGCCCTTTAGTATTTCCTATAAATAACGAAATCTCTTTGTTTCTCTCCTTTTCTTCATTAGGTTTTTTCTATACTTTATTATAAGAACGGCTGTACCTTCTCTCCATCATAAACGGGTCCGTTCTTCAAGATATCGAGGAGTATGGACGTCTCATCCATGATTTCGCTCTCAAGCTTTTCCTGGCGTCGACCGAATCCAAAATCGCGCATATGACGAAGGGCAAATCTTCTCAGTTCGCTCCATTTGTCGCCGTCAGTAAAAAATATACCTACGTGCAATTTCATAACATTTATACTATATGTCGTTTTGAAAGTTCATTATTTATATTTTGGTAATCGTTATCGCGCAAAGTATTTTCATTAACGAAGAAACACTTATATATTGCAAGTTTATATCGAGAAAAGTGAACAAACAATTGTATTTTTCATTACCTAATTCCTTTCCGAACGCTCGATCTTTTATATGATGCACATTCGTAAGTCGCCCATCAAATTCACTCCTTGAGAGTACTTCTTTTATGCTTTCGTAATCGTTCACTATTATTGCAAAGTAATTACCCATATAGCAGCTGATAATTTTTGACTTCAATTTTTTCACATAATAATCGATGGTCAAGTGTGGAAACTTATAATTTCCCCAAAGCAATAGCAAGTAACATCCTCCTATCGGAAGTCTGATGATACCTGCCTCAGATCAGTTTTGTCAAAACGACAATTACTGACACCAAAGTTCATTGAACACAATTCAGATGCAAGTTTTTTATACATAGAGATGTTTGTTAGACATAAGAATAATATAAAAGTACAATAAAAAAAAGCTTTGACATAATTTGAGTTAGAGAGCATTCAATAGATGGTAATGATACAAACGATGCAATGCGATACGAAATTCTGTATTGAAGATTGAAAAAAGTCGAAATTGAAAAACCGTTCAGTAACTTAATTTATAAATCTTAACTTATTTTACCTGGAGGTGTATTAGGTGGTTTATCGTAAAGAAATCTGTATAGTTTATACACCAGAAGAAGGGTACATATGACCACTAAAAGCGGCGACATGATAGCACGAGAAACAAGTACTAAATGAGCACTTTTTAGATATATCGTGTTTTTCATTTGGTATCAGTTTGCGCAATCTCGGCGGAACAACAGGCGGAAACCGAAGCTGTACATGGTCATATCTAATTTGCTCACAATTTTAATTTTTTTGTCCAACATTAACTATATGATAGTGGTAGTAATGAAATATGACTCTTAAGATATTTTTCGGTATCATCACCAAAATAAGAAACGTAGATACGTAAACATTTCTAACTGCTTTTAATTATACTGGAAGATAAATGATTGAGTAATTAGCTTACAAAACAAATGTAGCTTTTGCAGAAGTATGAAACAACATGAAAGATACACTGAGAAAAGAAGTGTTGAATTAAAAGATGTTTCTTAATTTAACAAAATACTACGGTCAATGGCAGTCAGTTTGTAAAAATCACGTGCAATGTCTACAAAACGCGTATCGCTTGCCGCTCATTTCTCTGCTTTTGTCATTCTAACAATAAATGTTAACATCCCTGTTTTTACCGCTCTCTCCGCAAAGTGACGCACCAACCTCTTTAAATCACAGAAATACTTGTTAATTCTACAATATTTGTATATTTCTTTCCTTCTTGTAAATTAAACGTATATGATTTATCGAAATATATATAAATATTGTTGAATTAACAAGTATTTTTGTGTGTGTGTGTATATATATAAGTAAATTATATATATAGTTATTTCTTTCAATATATATATTTTTTGTGTATATTTGTATATATATAAATTATATATGTATATACAAATATACACAAAAATATATACATATTGAAAGAAATAACTTGTGCTTTAAAGATCAATAAAAAAAGACAGTTAAAATGTAAAAAGCAAATATACAATTCAACAGTACGCATTAAATTTTACAAGTTATATAAGAAATTGTAGTGAGTAGAGAGAAGAGTGGTAAACTAATCTGTGAAATTGTGGAGTTATTACACGATTACCCAACAACTACTTCATTATCAGTCGCGAATTGTGTAATCGATCAATTAAGAAGTCGCGTGTGTGCGTGATCCCGTAGCTCTTTTTTTTCGTAATCACTTATCGCAAAAAGTATGTCATTGAAATAAGTGTATTCTAGCAGAACTGTCTGCAAATAATCGTATATTGATATTTTTACATCACAAATAAAATATCTAAGTACCTATTGCTAAGTACTTATTGAGAAAATATCTAATATTAACGCAATTCGAAGCGTATCCACAGCTCTTTGGGCATGATGAGCATGCCCGATTCCTTATCGTTAAGGCTCGATGGCTCACCCTCCACGAAGAAGAAGTTGAAGTTCTGTAATAGAGCAGCCAGTGTCCCGAACAAGTTGTATCTGGAATAAGTTTCTGCTATGCACAGTCGACGACCTATACAAAAGCGTGGAAATAAAATTATTATTTTATTCTTAAATTTAATCCGATGGATGCCTCACAGATGCAAAGAAATTCAGCAGAAATTGCTCAATCTCGTTAGATGATATATGTATGTATGTATGTATGGTGATTTACCGAAACTGAAGGGAAGCGAAAAGTCTTTGACTAATTGTCCGTTCTCCTTCAGAAATCTTTCCGGTCTAAAAATTTCAGGATCACCCCATAAGTCGGGATCGTAATGCAGTGCCGCCAAGTTAGTGACAACCGGTGTGCCCGCCGGTATATCGTAGCCTTTTAATGTGGTATTTTCCGTGGCCCTGTGACTTACACCGAACGGTGAGAGTGGTTCGAGTCTCAACACTTCTCGGATTATCGCTTCCAAATAAGGCAAACTGAAACAAAATGAGAATAGATCTGTATTGCTCAACATAGCGTAAATAAAATTGAATCTATGCTAACATTTGAAAACAATAGTAATACTTTTTACGTATAGAAAATGAATTTTCTATATGCAAAAAAAACAAGAAACTGTCTTGTAGCGTCATGTAGTGTATTGCAATATCTTCTTTTGACAACGAAAGAATGTGAATCGCCAGTAGTTGATTAACGATAAAAAGAATTGTTAGAGGACTTTAGGCTGGCAGATGGTTTCTTTATTTAAATCCGACGTTTCGACCATACGGGTTGTGGTCCTTCTCAAGGAATTCAACAGTCTACAAGTTTAATTGCAGGACATTGCAACTCAAAAGTATGTTGACCACAAAATGAAATCAACGCAAGTCAATACAAGCAGAGTAAAATTCTTTTTGAAAACTTACAATATTACGTCATTGATATTAAACTAAAAAACACAGGAGTTTGACATCCATCTCTGGGCGTCATTCGGAGAACTATGTTAGAAGGCACGTCCGATGTAACTACCACAATAGGACTAAAGTCTAACGGTGGTGTATAGGAGATACGAAGAACATTACAATAAATAAATAAATAGCTATAAACCGAAGTCAGAGTCACAAGGATTAAACAAGAATAAATAATGAATATGTTCAATAGATAAATAAAATATAGTTTAAGATCAAGATGCTGAGTAGGTAGGTATGTAAAATTTAAAATTCTATTAAGCTATAAAAACGATTACCCTTTTCAACTCCGACTTCGCTTTTATTATGCAGTTTAATTTTTTTACTGAAATGCAGAACGATAAGATAATTTAAATGCTGAAGAAGTATTGTCCGTCAGACAGAAGTATGCTAAATACATCTTCTTAAAAGTCGAGATAAAATTATTTTTTATGAAACTTAAGATAATCCACAATAAAATACATAGTCAGTTTTAATAATACAGAAAATTTATTGCGAAAAATATTACCTCAGCCAGAGTTTGAACCTGGACTTCCCTATACTCTAGGTGGGCGTCTCAACCAATTCGACCACCGAGGCATATGATAATATCAGTCGCAATAACAATATAAAAATGTTGTTAGATTATACGGTCAGTAAAGATCATTAATGTTGTTAATCACTGCTGGCGACTTTTAAGAATATTCTCTTTAGATAAGCAGTTTGATTTTAAAAAGTAGTAATTTTTGTAGCTTTGCGTATCCATTGCGTATCCATTGCTAAAGGCCTTCACACATAAAATTCCGTAAGACCGTAAAACGTAAGCGTAAGAAAATCAACAGGTTGGATTTGCTACTGCTTGCGTCATTGCTTTACGTTCTCGACTGTGATTGGTCGATTTTCTTATGCTTACGTTTTACGTCCTTACGGAATTTTATGTGTGAAGGCCTTAAGATCGCGAGACGCGATAGTGTCTCGCGCCAAGTATAAGCGTAGCTAGAATATCTCATATCAATGATCTGATTCTCGTTGTTTATTCATTGCTAAAATATCTCATATCTTATTGTTTACTAATAACATGATTAAAGAAGAATTGCTTTGTCTCCTTCAAGTGTACTAATAACTCACTGTTTTCTATCTTCCCACGTAGCCAATCGTCCGGTCCCGACAACGTTATCTATGTCGTTTTGTACCTTTTCCATAACTCTAGGATGGTGCATCAAATACTTAATAGTATGAGTAAGAGTGCCTGATAGCGATATAAAAGCCGGCATTATTATATCGATTAACAAAATAATCAATTCTTCGTCCGTGAAACTATTCGCCTCATCTTCATTCAATTTCTTTAGATATTTATCGGTGAATCCACGATCATTATTCTTGTCGAAAGTGATTTTGTGATACTCCAAATGTTTCTACAAAATAAAATGCAATCGTATTTTTAAAATAAAATGTCCAAACATTTTATTTTATATTTATATTCCATATTTAACAATTTCATAAAAGTTGTTAAATTAAAATCGTTAAGTATAAGACTTGACATTGAAACCGAAAATTTAAATTTATCTAAAATTTATTAAGAAAAAAAAGCTTAAACCGCGTATCTCTTCTTAGTTTGATCTAAAAGTAAATTTCAATTCTAAGCAAGCCACCAAATAAATCGCTATACAGTTTAAACTTAAAATTTTGAGAACGTGTGATTTAAACGTAGTACTTAAATGCACATTTGACAATAACAAATTTGATGCGAGTTTTCGATTATATTTATTTGATATATAACTTGCCTGGACAATTTCTTTTAATATGTTGCTTCCCTTCATATGATTTTTATAACCAAACATATTACCAAAATATTTCAAAAATTCATACTGAGAAATGGCACCACCTGTTGTATCGTTTGCGCTTTGAAACAGCATAACTGCACGACCGAAACGTAGCAGAATATCGTGCTCGGTTCTATCAAGTCTGTAACCGAACACAATGTTCCATATGTTGTTACCCGACGACGCGTACAGAATGTCCGGGAAAAGCGCCAAGTTGCCGTTTAGTATTTCCTATAAATAACGAAATCTCTTTGTTTCTCTCCTTTTCTTCATTAGGTTTTTTTCTATACTTTATTGTAAGAACGGCTGTACCTTCTCTCCATCATAAACGGGTCCGTTCTTCAAGATATCGAGGAATAAGGACGTCTCATCCATGATTTCGCTCTCGAGCTTTTCGTGGCGTCGACCGAATCCAAAATCGCGCATATTACGAAGGGTAAATCTTTTCAGTTCGCTCCATTTGTCGCCGTCAGTAAAAAATATACCTACGTGGAATTTTATAACATTTATACTATATGCCGTTTTGAAAGTTCATTATTTATATTTTGGTAATCGTTATCGCGTAAAATGTTTTCATTAACGAAGAAACACTTATATATTGCAAGTTTATATCAAGAAAAGTGAACAATTGTATTTTTCGTTACCTAATTCCTTTCCGAACGCTCGATCTTTTATATGATGCACATCCGTAACTCGCCCATCAAATTCACTCCTTGAGAGTACTTCTTTTATGCTTTCGTAATCGTTCACTATTATTGTAAATTTATTACCCATATAACAGCTGATAATTTTTGACTTCAATTTTTTCACATAATAATCGATGGTCAAGTATGGAAACTTATAATTTCCCCATAGCAATAGCAAGTAACATCCTCCTATCGGAAGTCTGATGATACCTGCCTCAGATCAGTTTTATCAAAACGACAATTACTGACACCAAAGTTCATTGAACACAATTCAGATGCAAGTTTTTTATAGATTATAGAAATGTTTGTTAGACATAAGAATAATATAAAAGTACAATAAAAAAAAGCTTTTCTACATAATTTGAGTTAGAGAGCATTCAATAGGTGGTAATGATACAAGCGATGCAATGTGATACGAAATTCTGTATTGAAGAGTGAAAAAAATCGAAATTGAAAAAAAAGTTCAGTAACTTAATTTATAAATCTTAACTTATTTTACCTGGAGGTGTATTAGGTGGTTTATCGTAAAGAAATCTGTATAGTTTATACACCAGAAGAAGGGTACATATGACCACTAAAAGCGGCGACATGATAGCACGAGAAACAAGTACTAAATGAACGCTTCGTAGATATACTCGTCCTTTTTCATTTGGTATCAATTTGCACAATCTCGGCGAAACAACATATGGAAACCGAAGCTGTACACGGTCATATATAATTTGCTGATAATTTTAATTTTTTTGTCCAAGATCATTAACTATATGATAGTGGTAGTAATAAAATATGACTCTTAAGATATTTTTCGGTATTATCAGCAAAATAAAAGATGTAGATACGTAAACATTTCTAACTGCATCTAACTACTTGAGTATATATAAATATTGTTGAATTTGCGTAATCTGTATTACCTAGATTCCTGCTTTTATTATACTGGAAGATAAATGACTGAGTAATTAGCTTGCAAAAACAAATGTAGCTTTTGCAGAAGTATGAAACAACATGAAAGATACACTGAGAAAAGAAGTGTTGAATTAAAAAATATTTCTTTAACAAAATACTGCGGTCAATGGCAGTCAGTCTGTAAAAATCACGTGCAATGTCTACAAAACGCGTATCGCTTGCCGCTCATTTCTCTGCTTTTGCCACTCTAACAATAAATGTTAACATCCCTGTTTTTACCGCTCTCTCCGCAAAGTGACGCACCAACCTCTTTAAATCACAGAAATACTTGTTAATTCAACAATATTTATATATACATTTCGATAAATCATATATGTTTAATTTACAAGGAATATATATATTTTTTTCCTTCTTGTAAACATATGATTTATCGAAATATATATAAATATTGTTGAATTAACAAGTATTTTTGTGTGTATATATATATATAAATTATATATATATACAAATATACACAAAAATATATATATATTGAAAGAAATAACTTGTGCTTTAAAGATCAATAAAAAAAGACAGTTAAAAATGTAAAAAGCAAATATACAATTCAACAGTACGCATTAAATTTTACAAGTTATATAAGAAATTGTAGTGGGTAGAGAGAAGAGTAGTAAATTATTCTGTGAAATTTTGGAGTTATTACACGATTACCCAACAACTATTTCATTATCAGTCGCGAATTGTGTAATCGGTTAATCAAGAAGTCGCATATGTGCGTGATCCCATAGCTCTTTTTTTTCGTAATCACGTATCGTAAAAAGTATGTCATTGAAATAAGTGTATTCTAATAGAACTCTCTGCAAATAATCGTATATTGATATTTTTACATCACAAACAAAATATCTAAGTACCTATTGCGGTTCGCTTTTATCTCTGAACTATAGAGGTTTACGGGAATATAATATTTCTATCAGCGCATTTTCACACACATCACATAGAATACACTTGTATATACAAATACGCGACTGCCACACGTTTCACAAATTATTCGAAATACTTGATATCGCCGCCCTGGCACACCACTGGCAGGCTACTGCTGAGTACCGAACGCATTCGATCGTCCTTAATTACTGTGTAGCCTACATTCGGCGATAACTGGTACAACATGGAAATGCAATCCTCCAGATTCTGCACGATTGCTCGATCGAACACCGGCGTCACCGTCAGATCGAAATGTAACTTCAGGAATATGGTGTAAAGCGGGGTGCAGTGCGCAGCCACTCGCAGGCGGAACATCAGGAGGAATGTCTTTGCCATCTAAACGAAAGAGAAATGCAAACCGAGGTCAACATCCGTTTTAATTTGTGTCACATTGTACGGCGTAGTGCCGTATTTCAAGCCTGTACCTCTAATGTCGCCTTTAATGTCCGTAAATCCGTATGATTTTCGCAGTAGTCGGCCAGTATGCGGACGAGCGCTCCGCACCATTTGGCACAGCCTATATTTGTGATGAGATGAGGTAAGCTCAACATGTATACGTGCCGTAATTCAATGTTCTGCTCGAGTCCCATGTTCTCTATCAGGATAGCGAGAACCTCGTCACGCGTTGTCCACTGCAAGGATGAAAATTGTTACACACAGTGGCACTCGAGATCGGGTCACCTGGTAATCTCGGCGAGTAACGTTACCTCAAACAGATTTATGGTATTATCCCAATGTTCCATGGTAGCTAAAAGGCTGGCCATGCAGGAATACAAAGGAATAACGTATTTCACTTCCTTCCGATGGGTCAAAAGTTTCAACGCGTGGTAAATCAGCTGGGCATACCCGGAGTCTATCAGTCCCTTTTTCTAAAATATTCGCCACGTTAATGTACACATATCAAGTACGCTGTATGCGCGCATAGGAATAAACTCTTGTTACCATGTGAGAGTGCTGTATAATCTGGTAAATACATTCCAGGCCTATCAGCACGTTATCGGGGAAATAGTCGTCGAGAATAATTAATGCGGTGGGCAGGACATCTCCGATATAATTGAATAAAACTGGTTTCTGTGGAAGAGAAGAAAATATGTAGATATGTAGCCGCGTGATATACAAGGTGAGAATCTGGACAAGAATTGGACTCACTTCCGCCTGCTGCAGAATCCACCTGTAACACGCCACGGCCGACGGATAGGTTTTCCAGGTGTCCTTTAGTAATTTAGGTCTTAACGTTAGCAACAGGTCGCGCAGGTTCTCATTCTCCGACAAGAATTGGGAAGCGCTCTGACACGCGTACAGATCACAGAAATCAGCGAGTAACTCTTTGGCGATGGAGACACACTCGGCTGTGTTCCAGACGTTCCTTTCGCCGTGCTCTCCGACGAGCAGCAACAGGTTCATGCCGAACGTCCTAGCCATCCCCGCGGCGTTGTTCAGCTGCAGGCGCTTCTCCCTGCAACTGCTGGAGATATGTTGCAGCATAGACCGGACGTTGCCCAAGTTTCTCTCCACAACGAGCCTGTGCTCCCTGAAGTCCCTCTCCTCGCACGGGCGCTCGCTCCCGACCGTTCTCTGCGGCGCGAGGCTCCTCTGAATCAAGTCCACGCATGGCGGCCACGAGGAGTTATCCTCGCAGAAGTCGCTCCTGATCTTCAGGATCTCCAGCTGCCGCAGCAGATCGTCCATTATGTGCGGATATCGAGACCGATCGAACAGTATCCCCCGGCGCCCTCGCGAGTCCTTCTTTCTAGAGGTGTCTCAGATTATTTTGCAAGTCACTTTGCAGAACGACCAGCCGCCTCGGCCGTTTGGCCAACATTCTGCCGGTCGAGTATCGAAGCTCTCGATCGCCAAGTTGATCGGTCCGTTAGCAATCGTGGGTGGATCGCCCTAGGATCACGTTCGACGTCAACTCGACTGTTGATCTTGCGAGAACGATCCGTCGGATCGAAGACAATCGCGACAACCTCGAAGCGAGGTTGTCGCTACCGCGCTCTTTCTCTCTCTCTCTCTCTCGAGGACTGTACTTGCCGAGGCTGCAGCGCCTGCACCGGCCCGGACGTCCACCGTCGATCGGTCCGGTCTCGGTCGTCGACGACGATCAGCGCAGCGCGACGCAGTTTGGACTGGCTGGTGGGCGCAAATGGATGCGGACTTGGACGGCGGACACGAGCGGGTGGACGCGCGATCGTCGCACCGGGTTCGAGCGGGCGGACGCGAAGCGGATGCGCACTCACGGGTACATGGGAGGCTCCGTATGCCCCCACATTAATAGCTGGGTACACGGGGAACGCGCAGCGCCCGAAAGTCAACTCGAAATCATGATGTATTTATGACATAAAGTGGCGTTACGTTTGTAATTCGCACGATATCTCGCAGGCGCCCGCGATCGATACCTCGACGCCGGCGATACTTCCAATCGCGATCTTCATTCGAGACTTCTTCGAGGTCCACTAAAATTTGCACTTGGTGCGTGTCTGCGCTGTGCATTTTGACATCCAATTTAGATCTCTGCATTGTGTGACATTAAAATGTGATTGCATTATAAGACATTTACATTATCAAGACTATCATATTCGTCTATTGGTTCGACGTGGCCGGATCAGCTCGCGGTAGAGCTGAGAGCCGAAGTAACTAGCTAGAAGAAGAAGAAGAAGAATCCAATTTAGAAAATTTACATTGTCTACTTGAGAAAAGTCGATGTCAATATCATGCAGATAATTTATTTTAATGCAATTTTGAATTTCACCAGCACAATCCTGAAAAACAGCCGTGGCATGGACCACCCACAAAGACTTTACCGGCAGTGTCAGAAAACGCCATTCAACTATGGGTCTGTTTTTTATTGCTGCACTCCTGAACTAGTGCACACTGGTGCAATGAGTTGGAATGAGAGGTAATCTATTTGTTTCATTTTAACTTATTGCACTAGTTCAGTAGTGCAGTAATTTAAAGAACAGGCCTTATAACCATATACTGGAAGGAGCACTGCCTACCCTCTTCATAGGCTACCGTGATCGCTGTAGTTAAGGTCGTTCTACATTAAGTTGCAAGCAATCGCTGGCATATTGTCGCAAGTCGCAAGGAATTTGCGATTTCAACTTCTACATTGCAGTCGTGAAGTCACAGCCAATCAAAGAAGAGAAAGTTGCGACATCCACGAAGGTTGATCACGGTTCATCCACATCTTTTTACGTCCAAAGAATCATCATCGTCCCAGTCTATACGACTCGTTTTATTAACATAAAATTTTCTAACCGCGATCAAGAAACACGAGAAACTAACGAGCTATCGACCAAGCCAAACAGACGCAATGACGGTGAAGCTCGATGGTTCATTGGCCGTCGCAAATCGCAGAGACGCAAATTTTGGATTTGGCCAAACCTTGCGACTGGCGTTTGCGACTGCATTACGATCGGAAGTAGCGCTGGGGCCCCGATTCTCGAAATCATTCCAAGAAGAAACGTATACGAATATTCTGCTCTGACAGAAAAGTTGCAAGTTGATTGGCTATTCGCATGGCTTTAACCAATCGACTTTCAACTTTTCTGTCAGAGCAGAATATTCGTATACGTTTCTTCTTGGAATGATTTCGAGAATCGGGCCCCTGCTTGCGTTCATGCGACTGATTAATTGCGACTAATGTAGAACGACCTTTAAGCCCGTATCAGACTACGGATTGAGATTGGGATTGGATTGAAATTGGACCAATCAGAGTAAAAGTTAAGCCCGTATCAGACTACGGATTGAGATTGGGATTAGATTGAAATTTAACCAATCAGAGTAAAAGTTACTGAACTTGAGATTAGTAAACTTTACTGTGATTGGTTAAATTTCAATCTAATCCCAATCCCAATCCGTAGTCTGATACGGGCTTTACTGAACTTAAAATTAGTAAACTTTACTGTGATTGGTTAAATTTTAATCTAATCCCAATCCCAATCCGTAGTCTGATACGGGCTTTAAACACCGGCGTGGCCGCTCCGTTTTCTCTGACGGCGAAAAGAGAAAAAGAACAGACTCAGGCGACGCGCGCGATACATCGCGGCGGCTCGATCGCTCGCTCGCTCGCGCGCGCACGTGCCGCGGCGGCCATTTTGTACCTTCGTACGATCTTTTTACATGAATCTCGGGAGCTCGGTAATTATATGAATTAAATGCGGCTGGTAGTAGCTGGTAGTTGCGAATAATGGCTGAGTACCGTTAGTTGATTTTCTACACCTTTTGTTTTCTTTCCACCTGTAGATCGTTGGCTGTGTCGCCGTCCGTCGCGCGGCGATCTCGCGCGAGCGAAGTGTCAGGCGACCGTGTGCGTCGTGTACGCGTGTGCACGCGCGTGTGTATGTGTCGGGTCTCTGTCCATCTTGTTTCCTATTTCCCTTCGGACGCCGCGCCCCTGTCACAATCTCGCTTTTCAGTCCTCTCGACCGCTCCCTTCGCTTCGCGAGGAAGGTACAGAGTATTTTCGTCGTTGGAAATTAATATTCGCCCCCCGCGCGCACGCGTCGGAACCGACTGGACCGGTCGCCGCCGGCTTCGTCGAGGATGGGGCGACCGCTCCAAGTTGGAAAAGCGCCGACAGACGCACCTTCGCTCGCGTGATCGCCTGCACTTGGTTTCATTTGCGTCCCATTCTTGCAACGCATGCCCCTCGCGTCATTGATTTCACGATTTCCACCTGCGTCGGAGTCGTTGTGTGTCTAATAACTGCCGTCTCTCTCTCTCTTTTCCGCTGCCCGTGGAAAGGACCAGGATCCTATTGCGTGTCGTCGGGGGTGGGCAGCGATTCCGAGGTCATGGCAGAGCTGGCTGCGCTCCTGCGACATGAGATCCCCGAGGGGCGGAACAATCTGGCCGACAGCCACACGAATCTCGAGCGGGTGGCCGAGTATTGCGAGGCAAACTACTTCCAGGCGGAGAACAAGAGGATCGCGCTGGAGGAGACCAAGAACTACACCACGCAGTCCCTGGCCAGCGTTGCATATCAGATAAACACCCTGGCGTACAATTTCCTTCAGCTGCTGGACCTGCAGACGTCCCAGCTCGCCGAGATGGAGAGCCAGATGAATCACATCGCCCAGACGGTCATGATTCACAAGGAGAAGGTGGCCAGGCGGGAGATCGGCGTCTTGACGGCCAACAAGATGACGACCCGCCAGTACAAGATCATCGCGCCCGCCAATCCCGAGAAGCCGATCAAGTACGTGAGAAAGAGCATCGATTACACGATCCTGGACGAGATCGGGCACGGCGTACGTAGCTGCGGTACGCCGCGGAGCAAGCAGAGAGGAGGCAGCCAGGGCAGCGTTCAGAGTTTAGGTGCTGCTTCTACAGGTTCAGGTTTGGGCGCGGCTATGGTAGGACCCGCTCCTACCACCAAGCCGCCCACGCCACCTCAAACAGTGAGAACCGGTAAGAATTGCGTATATATTCACGTATACACATGTATTACAAATGTATATTATACATACAGAATGTTTGGCAGTTACTGCTACAAGAGGACACTTGCTCTTGTATCGCGTGGACAATCCGCAACTGTGTCAAACATACTGTATGCACAGAGTGTCCCAGGGACACCCTGGGACACTCTGCGTAAGCGCTAGGTATCGTACGAGTGCTACACAAACTTGTAAAGGTGTACTTTTTCAGTTGCGGTTATAAAAAAATTATAAATCATTTCGCTAACGCAAAGGTATTTACCGCTTCTTGGCTGCATGGGTGTCCTTTCTTTCAGCTTCTAAATGTCACACACCGTTCCGTCTGTCACATCTTTCGTGTTATTTCTGTGTGTCCGGCGCCGATCTTGCCGACGCGGCGAATAACGTTCGTTCTTTGTGTATAGGAACGTTGAGTAAAGGATCGCGCGAATATAGGACTCCGCCAGCGGTAGCCCCACCACAAGTTCCTAGCCATTATGCGCCCAATTATCCGCTCGGCCACCCCAGGCGAGATCGCCCGGGGTACAGCACTCTGCCATTGCATGCTCACAACACGTCCCACACGAGCCACAATAGCAATCATAACGCGCATGCCAATACCATCAATCAGCACACTATGCCGCAAGTGGGGACGGTGCATCCCCTGCAGAGCCACCCGCAAACGCCACCGCCGGCGCCGCCCAGCGTCACCGCGGGCTACGTGCAGGAGCAGCACAACAGTATGCCTCGTAAGCGACAAATAACATAGTTAATAACGACATATAATGTTCCAGGCATATCTTAATCTTATAATTTGTTACCAAAAATTGATGGTTTTCCTCACCACTGCAGCTCCACCGTCACCTCTGGTCGGGCTAGGCGGCGACATGGCGGAATTTACCGGGCATCACACCCTGCCGCACCGATTGTCGCATCAAATCAGCCGTGGTAGCGGCGCGAACAGTCCGCCCTTACCGCCGCCGCCGCCCCCGGAGCAGGACGAACATCCGCAGTTTGGCAGACCGACCCCGTCTGGCGCTATAATGCCGATCGTGCCGGACGAGGAAGATTTGCCCGGATGGGTGCCGAAGAATTACATCGAGAAAGGTACGTCCAGAGTTGGTTCTCCGTCGCGTCGTTAAACGTCCACCGGATAAATTAGTATCGGAGGAAAGCCCTCTATTACAGGACAGGATTCCAATATGAAAGAGTAGGTTTTCAACGTCCGAATTCAATCATAAATCTTCTCTCGCAACGATTGCACGATCTAACAATGAATTTTCCACTAAACAGATTTCACACCAAGGGCGATAGATTCATGATGAAACCAACAGATGATGCCTATTAATTTGGCAGAAACTTCACTATCTCGTAATAGGAGACTTTCCTCTATATTAGTAACGTAATATGTGATAATAATAAAAATGGTCGTTGCAGTGGTGGCTATTTATGATTATTACGCGGATAAAGAGGACGAGCTGAGTTTCCAGGAGAGTTCTGTGATCTACGTGCTCAAGAAAAACGACGACGGATGGTGGGAGGGGGTAATGGACGGTATAACTGGATTATTCCCAGGGAATTACGTCGAACCATGCGTATAACCACATGCAATAATTGGCTATATCAAAATGACTAACGGAAGACTGCAATTTTTAAGCATTTATCGTATATATGTACGTATCATTAATCGCATTTACATTAATCGCCAATATCTCGATTGCGAGCAAAAGTTGTTCTTCGTCTTACTTTTTGTTCGAGCAAGCATTCGAGTCTATGATTCACGAGCGTACACGAAAATGCCCGTGAATCGTAAAAAGACATAATTTTTGTCTTGTAGGTATTATTTTATAATTTATTCATAAACATAAAAGGGAGCGAGTCGTACAAGTGCTATAACAACGGTGTAAGGGTTGACGTCGTGTAGACGTACGTTAATCAACAATAGTCTGCAAGGGATGCAATAGACGGTGCGGAGATCGGAATATCACAAACTTCCTTCATATATCATAGACCTTGCACTCTCCGTCTTTGTCCGCGATAATGCGGGATAAATGTCTTGCCGCGCCTATAATCGTGCGAAGTGCCGAGTGAACAACGTTATGTTAACACGTGAGACGAAAATACGTGCGGTATTTGATTGTTGAGAAAATTCAATCGAGCGAGTTTTGAATCAAACACTGAAAAGCTAAATTTTTATATTAATGTAAGAAAATGTATTTTTCTGCATCTTTAGTATTTCCCCGAGTAGATACTGAATTATATTCTATTATTTACGTATCCACATATATGTACATATATCTATGTGTAAGATCGCACGTTGCAATAGAGATCTTTTATCTCTGGGCTCCGTCTGCATCATTTGCGCGCTCGCATCGCGCGAGCAGACGGAAATAACTTTCAGATAATAGTTACAGCGTCTCACGTGGGGGGACACAAATAAATTATTCTGTGTATTATCTTCTCCGTAAACTTTATTAACACAAAATAAAGTTAAGATAGGAAAAAATGCGACCTTTTTTTTTAAATTTTCAATAATCGAATAATGTGCATCGAAGATCGGTTAACGTGGCATCTTATAAGTTCTCTTCTTATATATATCACATTAATGGATTCTCATATACAAACAACTTTCTTTGCGCGCGTCATTGGTCAGTTTGAGATAAAATTCCATCTTTGGGGTGTTTTTTTTTCTTTTCTTTTCTCTTTTTAGGAAAACCATACAAACCCGGTTAAATACATTTTTGAGTAGCTAAGATGAATCAATCGACGGGTATTGATAAAGTAGGGAAATACTCCTGCGCCTTTTTCGCGACCGAGTATTCTACATTATAGACGGGATGGATCACCTCCACCTTATTCGTGATCCTTCTTCCGATGATCGACTTAACCGGTGAGTTTTGCGCAATCGATAATCCACTGAGAACATAACATGTGTGGTATATGTCACGATTTCTGAAAAAAGAAAAGGAAAAGGGCTATCGCGACCAAAGTCACTCGTAAACGAGCATTATATTTGCGATGACAATCGCAGACATGACAAAGCGCCATCACGTACTTTCCCGGTTTATCCAGAAGACCGCCGTGCGGGTTCTGGCAGCAAGTTAATATATATTCTTGTAAGGCCTCTTGGTTGAACAACCAGTGGTCGGAGCTGTTGGACGCCTTTCCGTGCGTCGACAAGATAGCGGCGATCAACGGGAACGTTGCGCCTTGCCAGAACGAATAGCATCCGTCCACCAGTTTGTTCGTACGTCCTTGGAAACCGCCCTCCAGACGCATCTGCTTATTTACTATCCACCTCTGCGGAACAGGGATGTGAGCGGCGGGAATCTTATCGCGGTCGTACGAGGGATCTTACCAAGAGCTCCGGCAAACGGCACAGCTCCGTTTTTCCGAGCATCACCAGTGCCGCCAGTGCGCAATACGCGTATCCGCCGTGCGCCTCCATTCCCGGACAGCTGCCGAAACCGCCCTCCCACGTCTGGCACTTGGCTATCCACTCGGCGGTGCCTTTGAACATATCCGGTGTGTACACGTTTGTCAACTTGGCGGCGGCGAGGGCGCAGTACGCTCCGCGTATGTCCACCTCGCCGTTTTCGTGCATACAGAACGAGCCGTCCTCCCCGTGTACGGAGTACAGAAACCGTTTCAAGTTCTTCCTGAAATCAACACGAGCCTGATCTTCAAGATACGACGAAGGCGAATTTGTAAAACGACAGCGTTACGTGTCTCGCGCATTTCTTTTTTTTTTTTACCTATCTATCACATTGTACGCTTCTTGTGTACCGATGGTGCATAGCGCGTTTACCGCGGCGTACGTAGACGCTAAATGCGGATATTGTCCCGGGCCTCCCCCAAAGCCGCCTTCTGGCGCTTGACACTTGGCCAGAAAGCCCGCTATCTTGGAACATTCCTCGTTTTCCAGTCGCTCCCCCAGTATCGCGAGTGAGTGCAATATCCAGAAGCACAGCCAAGGCCTGCTGGAGTCTAAACACTAGCACCGTCACGGACGCTTGATAAGCTTCCCCGTTACAAGTGGCAACTGTGTCCCTCTCCCCTAAAGCAATTGCACGTGCTGTTTGACGTTAAATGAACAATGGATACCTCGTAAGTGTCGTTTAAATGAGTGACTGCTTTCTTCAGAAACTGAACATGTTTCGGCCTGAGCAGGACCGGCTCTCCCTCCCTGCACGATTGGTAGAACTTGAGCACGATTTCCTCCACGCGGGCCTGTAGAGATACGCGGCGGAAAAATGAGCACGGATATCGGGCTCGCGACATAGAATCAACATTCAGAAACGACGCCGCTCGCCGACGTAAACTTATACGCATTCGGTTTGCTTCGCGGTAAGCGGGGACCTACCAACCTGCTCGTTTGTCGACGCGGTCTTACGTCCCCCATCGTCCTGCCGTTGCCTCAATATTTCCTCATAACTCCTTCGTCCTGCCTGCGTGCCCAACTCCAGGTCCGACATAATCTGTGAACCACAACGGTGACGAGGTAACCCAACACGTTCGACAAATGCAATCCGTTCCGCCATACGAAGCATCTCGGCAATGCGGACGCGGTTTATTTTACAATTTTATCACAAAACATCCTCGCGGGGGAGCGAGGTTTCCCCGAGCGTATTTTCTCCGGTGAGGTTATGGAGCCCGCCTCTTTCTCCCCGTCTCCCTCCGCAACGTGGCTGCTTTAGAGAATTCTACGCCGTACATTCTGGCACGGCGCGCGTCATCGCGCTGTACTTACATTTAAGCTTATTTATGGTGCTTGTTGTTGTATGTACAATGTTGACCGATATTGCAGTTACACTCATAACCTATTTATTTTGTTAACGCGGCGGCACCGAACGACACCTGTTCGCGAGCGAGCTGCCCCCCCGCGCTGCGCAACATGCCGCTCACAGCTTTTCAACTCGTAGGCCGTAGCAGAGAGAGACCTGTGAGCGGCCATGCCGGTGTTTTGCCTGTTACCGTTTTCGCTCGACTGATTCCAGCGCTTTACACCCATTTTCATTCTTGGAACTAATCCAATCCAATCCGTTGATTTTCTTACGCTTACGTTTTACGTATTCCTTACGGAATTTTGTGTGTGAAGGCCTTGACAAACAAAACGCCGGCGTGGCCGCTCTCAGGTTTCTCTCTGGATGACTACGTTTCCACCGAGGGTCAGAGTCGGGTTGGGGTTTGGTGTTTCCACCGCAAAAACGCTCACCCCAACCTGATTCTGACCCGACTCTAGCCCGACTTTGACCCTCGGTGGAAACGTAGTCTGTAAAGTAACTTTCCCAACCCTGTATAGTGCCAAATTAACATGAAGTGTATGGAGTCCCGTCTGGGCCGTTGAGCGGTTCACACGTCTTCCGACGGAAGATAAAATTTTTGATCCTGCGGGATTGCATCATCCAATAGGGATTGCATCATCCCGCGCGAGGCTCGGTAGTTGGGCCTCTGCATTGTGTGACAATGAGTGCGTTCCGGCAAGACACTGCTACCGTAGCGCTACGGTAGCGCTACGATAGCGCTACACGAGTACGTTTCGGCAAAACGTACCGCTACAACTGTAGCGGAACTTCTTCCTCTTTAACGTTGCTTTCATCTGATGAATCATCGAACAATATGTCATTCATGAGCCAATTTTCAATATTTTCCATTCTATTCGTTTCAATTAATTTTGTAAACGAGGTAAACGCGACTCTTATAATTCAATTTTGAGGTTATGCACGCTAATGTATATATGGCACCGCTACAATTGTAGCGAAAAAGCTGTAGCGCTACGGTAGCAGTGTCTTGCCGGAACGCACTCATTAAAAACGCGATTGCACGTTAAAGAGATTTGTATCATCAAGTCAAGACTATTGGTTCGTCGTGGTCGTGTCGGCTCAATACAGGAGCCGGGTGCCATAACAATTAGATAAAGAAGAAGAAGATGAAGTGTATGGTAAGCGTGGGTCCGATATTCGCGTTCCTCACCGCTTCGGAAAGTACTGCGGTTTCTGCTTTTTTTCTTTATAAAAAATTAGAAAACAGTGTTCCCGAGGACATATCTCTCCCGTCACTTCCTGTCGCACGTATAACGCATTTCGCGTGTCAGCTTCTCTTCGTCATTTTTCTCCTCTTTCGCTTTCGCGAGCATTTTGCCCGGTTTACATGCAATCTGCGTTACATGCGACCCCCGCCCATCTCTGCCAATGTAAATTAACTTTAATCTCGATTTAACTTCCATTTTATCTTTTTGTCTAATTTTTGGAACTAGAGAAGGATAGAAAACGACTAAACCGAGGTCAGATATTTAATCCGCATCGGTAGAAACGGATATCCGTCACTTTTACGGCACGACGGAAGCTCATTTGCGATTTTTAAACTCGGCCCGGCGCACGAGGAAGGATCGAAGATCCTCTCCGGTCGGTTTAGGCGTAGATTAGCGATGAATCGAGGTAAGGAAAATGAACGTCGCGCGAAAACGACGTTCCCCCTCTTCCTCCTCCTCCTCCCCCCCCTCCTCCTCCACCCCTGTCAAATAGAATTACGATCGAGGGTATGAATCATCGGGCGAAATGCGCACGCATTTCGCGTTTTCTACGCATTGACGGGGCCGCACGTACGTACATACAATACACACACTGCTACGCGCAACGCGAATGCCTAGGCCGGCGGGGTAGAGAGGGTACAGGTTATTTTGTTTTTTCCTTCCACGCGAAGCGCGTCCCGCGGTCTTCGCGCGCCGCGCGTGTTGCGCAACGCGAGGTACGTCTCTTTCTCTCGCCGTCGGGTCGCGCGTCCCGTTAGCGTCGCCGCGCGCGCGGAAACGGTGAGTTTTCTATAAATAGCGATGTCACGCACGACGCACGACTCTCGGCGAAGGAGGGTCGACCCGCCGCGGCGGGCCAGTCTCCGACGTTGACGGGAGATAGGTAGAACGCGCCGCGGATTGCTGCCGCGGATCGGCCTCTTCCACCGCGTTGCGTCGCGTTGCGTCGCGTTGCGTCGCGTCGCGTCGCGCCGCGCCGCGTCCGAGAGCCAAGCGACGTGACCGAGCGCCGTGACTCCCGTGGCCGAGAACCTCGGTGCTTCCGGCGAGGAGGGGCTAGAAATAGGGGGGCCCAGAGCGGCGCGGCAAGGACCGCGGCCGTGTCCTTCGGGGAGGGGTGCTATTTTTAGGCGGTGCATGCCCGTGCGTATGTTCCCTCCGACGGCCCCCGCGGCTCTTTCCCGAAAGCGAGCGATAACCTTTGGCCGCCCGTGTCCGTGCCGTCCGCCGAGGAGAGGCGTCTCTCGCCGCGAGTCCCTCGGTCACCCCGGTGCGCTTCTTTGTTCGGCAGAAGGATGGAGAGCGAGCAGCGTCACTATGAGCTTCGCAGCCGAAGCAGATCGCGCTCCCACACGCCTATGGTCCCGAGCCGTCCGCCGCCGGAGCCGGAGATGACGGAGCGGCACTACGATCTCAGGAACTGGAGCCGGGAGAGATCTCACACGCCTGGAGAGGTGACCAGTAGCAGGAGGTCTGGCTCTAGGTCGTTGTAAGTAGCCAAACCCAAGTGTTGAATCGTTGGCGATTGTAGGCGAGTCACGTCTCTTTACCTCGCTCGCGTTTCCTTGACTGTAGAAGCGGCAATGTGAAGACGCATGAGAAGAACATGGAGATCATCGAGGAGAGCAAGGAGGGATCTGTCACGGGTAGCCTGACGGATAACCAAAGCACAAAGTCCGAGAGTTCTGCCGTCGTCACGAGAAAGCCGGAACGCCGGTCGGAACGCCAGCGGGCCAAAAAGCAAATGTTTGTCAATGGTCAGAGCGAGAGTATGGAGGACGCGTCCGACCAGAAGGCCGAGCGGAGACGCAGAAGTGTTACACCACGCAGTTTCTTTACCAGCGACTACTCGTCCGAAGAGGGAGAGAAGGACGATCGTTCCAGTAGAGCGGGATCCGCCTATGAGATTTACAAGCTGGCTGGCGAATGGTGGAAGTACGCATGTTTCAGCTCTTTTTTTTTTCTGCGCGCCGTGTACGTTTTCCGTTTACTTTTAATCAAGCCTTCCCGCGACATTGTATTCGTCTAACTCGATACTGTTTACTTTAGAGACACGACCTTTCTGTTGGAAAAATAAATAATTTGTGAACAGTACGTCCTAATAGCGCCAGTCGCAGGACGCAGGTCGCCGGCTCTTGGTGCTAATAGTTTTAGAGTAGATTAAACGAACGGTTTGCCTTTATTACTTGTGCGAGGAATCACATTCACTCGTGGTTGTTTCAGCGTTTTTCCAAAGACAGACTATACGTACTCGCCGACGTCGCAGTATCGTTACGAGATAGCCCCGGGTATACTAGCTATGCCCAATATGTCGAGGCGGCCCATACACGTTAACGACAACGGAAGTACCGTATCTCAGATCAGTCGTCAAAATGTAAGTCAAGCTTCGCGCGGAACGACGGAAAGCGGAATCGCCGACATGGATACGGTCGATTTCAAAGAGGCTGCTTCTCTACGCCATTCCGTAAGTATTTATGATCTCGAGAATACAGGGGCAAGGTCCTCTATCACGAGACAGCTTTCTAATGTGAGATAGGTTTTCAACACCCACATTCAATCGCAAATCTTTTTTCGCAACGGTTACACAATCTAACGATCAATTTTCCACTAAATAGATTTCGCTCCAAGGACAAATAAGTTCGTGGTGGAATCAACTGATGTTGCCTATTTATTTAACAGAATCCCCCCTGTCCTTATGTTTTCTTATATCTTAGTCCCTATGTTTTCTTATATTGTTATCGTAATATACCATGACTTTGCACATTTGCGTTCTAAAACTGTACGTGCATTTTGCAGTCCGAGGATAATTACCGCGCGAGTAAGTCTACGGCAAGAACGACTCTGTACAAAATGACATGCGTAGACCAATACACAAGTCACAAAGAGTTAGTTTATTCGGACCCAGGAGATTCAGCTTTTCGGACAAGGTATTTTGTCCTCTCTCTCTCCAAAACAATTGCCCCTTCTCTCGTTACATTAAAATTAATGCAATCTTGTTTCAATAGATACTTATCGTGGGCAAACACTCCAATTGGACATGCATATACTGCTGATTCTGACACTGAATTGGACGAGAATTTTGTAAAATCATCAACCAAAATTAATAAAACCTGGAGGATTGTACGGTGGTTCATGTACTTTACAACTTTCGTTGTCGCCTGCTTCAGGAAAACGGTCGATTTCTTCAAATTTAGAACGGATAGGGAAAGGCGTTATTATGGCACACAAGTTCATCGATTATCCAATGGTATTGCTGATCATAAATTATCTTTCATATAATATTTAGAAGTATGGCTATTGATAATTTTTTTTATTGTTACAGTATCCAAATGGAGCAAATTGTGGGAAACTCTGAACCGTTATACGCACAATATGTACTTCTTCTTTGTCAGAGCGCTTGTACTCGACACTTGGCTGTTGAGTCGATTCACTGGCATTAGAAAGTGGTTGCAGGGAAAAGGCCCGAAAATTCTTTGGGTCACACTGCTACCGCTACTACTTTTGCTTGGTAAGTTTCGTTGTCTTATTTAAGTAGCATGTACAAAAACATCACTGTTCCATTTTTTGATCCACGTGATATCTAGACCGATCCAAACACAGTCAGACCAATGTCATTCGCAGGACCTGAAAGGTGGATAAACCTATCCTGGCCTTTGTCTTCTTTCTGTTTCAGGGGCTTACATCGCGCAGAGGCATTTCACTTTTGCGGATTCTCTGCGCAATGTCCAAAATGGTGTCACTCAGACGACTTATCACATCTATAACGATATAATTAATTTCATGTCCCTCATCTATGAATCGTTAACCAAATACTTTGCAAATCTTATAAATTATTTCGTGCACCTTTTACCGAGTGTGAACGTGTCTTTGCCTGAAATGCCTCCCGTTGGGTGGAATGTAAAGTAATGATTAATTGGAAAAAAAATGGATTCAGGATAACAATTCTGAATATAATAATTTAGTTCAAATGGATGGAAGTGGTGTTTTGAATATTCATATTACTTTTCAAAACTACGATGAAAGTGGAATGCTATTATAATGCAAATTTTCGTTAGATTGATCGTGTAACATAAATTATAGACATCTTTAAAACACGAATACCTCTTACATCCATTTATTCCTTAAACTAATTATTTGTGTTTGTTCTTTATTCTATGATAAAGTCAGTATATATCGTAGGCATCGTATTAGTTATTACAATTATAATTGCAAAATTTCGATAACTGTCTCTATCTGAATAGAATGTTTCTAACGATTCATAAAATTATGTTTATTATCTTGATGTATTTGCATATATATTTGCCATAATGTGACGTAGATATTGCTGGGAAAACTTCCATGTTCCACTTTGTATATTGAGATCAGATAATGGAATATGCTTTACGATTTACGTATACTGACTCTCAGTTATCGCTTTGCTTTCGTTTTGTCTTAACTAATAAACTAATACTGTGTGAAGATTTACACATATACATTTATTAATCTATATATATGCATTTGATATATAATTATATATCTATGCTATTTCAAGAACTAACTGGTCATGTTACTTAGTCATTTTTCTGTTATACATTATATATATATTTTATTATATATTTTGTTTTCCTATATTTAATCCTATCAATATTATAAATCGCATAATATATAATTTAATAGTTACGCAATGAAATAAAATCCAACTTTTTTTTCCAGTTAACACCACATGTATCGTTTTTGTCTTTACATACATCAAAGATATAACAATATATTTTTGTGCAACAAATAATATATCTATATTGTAAAAACACGTTCATACTTAATAAAGTATTTTTCATGTCTCTGATATTAGTAGTCTTTTGAACACAGTCCGTTAGAGTGATATAGCGTCGTAGTGTCACGATTGAGCGTTTAATTGCACCGAAAAGCGAAAAATAAAAATGTTATGGTAGGAGAAGGATAGGGGAGGATTACTCTACTGGGCATTAAAAAGTCGGAGTGTATTGTGCTTGAAATACTTGGAATCGTGATCGCGATTGATATCAACTGAACGGTGAGTTTCTTCGTCTATCCTTCTCTCAGTTACCATATTGCATAAAAAGTTCCACTTTGAACAATTTTATATTACATTGTAATTATTCTATGCCATCGAAATTTATGATATATCTGAGATACAAGATCCCCTGTGATTGTAAATTCAATAATTGGACAGTCGCTGTGGCACTAACTTTGTGTTGGAACACTGTAGTTCAATACAGTAACAGGAGAAGGAGATCGTAGCAATCGTTTGAACTAGTAATACTTATAGATGTGAAATTTGTTTCAGGTGGTTGGTGCATAACACAATATTTGTCGCTTCTTTCTGGTATTAAAACCGTGTCCGAGACAGCGACGGAAAGATCGTTACCTAACATACGAGGGGAAGACTATAAGAGTAAAATTAATGAAGAAATATTGGCCAGCAATGAAATAATCAAAGAAGCTTACAAAAATTTAATCAATAGGATAGAAAAGCTCGAGAATAAACAGACGCATCAAATGGTATGCATAACATTTTCTTGCTGTCTCTCGTGTCTTCTATAATTCACTTGTAATATTTTGTAGGAACATCTTATAAATGTTACTCAGACTTTAGAAGATCGTCAGCAAAGGGATGCCAATTTCTGGAGGGAGTACGATGTAAGTTTATGTTATTATTTAACAATAGACAACAATTGTAAAGATTTCGAGTTCTACGGCAGTTATCCTTTCAGGACAAAATTATTGATATGGAAAATAAATTGGATATCAACGAATTGAAAAATATTGCACATAGCGAACTTAAAGTCATCAAGTATGAGGTTGAGAAACTGAGCAAACTGTATTCCGAATTAAAATCTTGTTGCGACACCAATGCAGAATCCATCGCGAATCAAGATATAGAAAAGACTGTGGAAAAAATCTTACTTAGCTACTTCCCTCCTGGGATTTCGAAAGAAGATCTCGTGAAGAACATGCAGAATTTATTCGCATCTCGTAAGATAGAAGGTTTTTCAAGAATATATTTAAATACAGTGATTTTTAAATCTGTTTGTATTTTATTAATTAATGTCGAGAATATATTACGAATATTTTTATAGGTCAAAAGAGCTTTGGTGATGACACCGATAGTGGAAGCATTCGTGTCTCGGACGAACAGATACGTAAGATAGTGAAGAAAGAATTGCAAATTTACGATGCGGATAAAACGGGTCTAGTAGATTATGCTTTGGAAACAGGAGGTATCGTATCGTGCCGATAAAATCAATAAGTAACGGCTGGTAAACATTATAATAAATAACTTTGTCTACCTGTAGGTGGTCAGATTATTAGCACGCGATGTACTCAGCGATACGAAATAAATATGAGAGCCTATACTTTGTTTGGTTTTCCGCTGTATTACGAAAGAAGCGATCCGCGGACAGTAATACAGGGAAATCCGAAACAACCTGGTGTCTGTTGGGCCTTCCAAGATTTTCCCGGATATCTCATAATAAAGTTGCGATCTGCCATTTATGTAACTGGCTTCACTCTGGAGCACATCCCCAGAAGGATTTTGCCGAACGGAGATATATCGAGTGCGCCCAGAAAATTCAATGTCTGGGTATGCGAAATAATTTCTTTCGTAATTAAGTACGTTACATTATTTTAATACTTTTTGCTGCTTTAGGGATTGTTGAGCGAGGACGATCTCGAGCCTGTGATGTTTGGCGAGTACGAATTCACGGCGAATTCTGACGAAAGTTGGCAATATTTTCCAGTTCAGGTAAATTTCTTTTTAAATACAAATCTTGAATCAATTTAATGAACGTATAGAAACATATACGTATATAAGCTATTTTCGTTTTGCTATTGTACGCTGTTTGATTAATGGATTTTAGATTTTATTAGGACTATAGAGTAATTTCGTTGATGATCTTTTTGCGCAGAACACAGAGATCAAGAGTCCATACGAATATGTAGAATTGAGGATACACAGCAATCACGGGGAGCTAAACTTCACGTGTTTATACAGATTTCGCGTTCACGGGAGATCAGCTTAGGAATTGATCGCGCCATGGTTCCTCTTCACAAAACATTCGCAAGATCGTTCGAGCAATAGCAAGAACGAGCCACAGCTCTTCTCAAATACGTGCCTTCAACTACCGTTAACTATAAACGCGATTTGCCACAGCACCTGTAACTATAGTTGTGAATACATCGATTATTTAATGCCTTTGTAATAGATTTTCAACGAAGCGATCAAAAAAACTTCATACACGCGCCGATATTTAATACACACGAGACGGGAGCCGTTTCCGTCGTCATTTAAACGCGTCAAACACTGTATATACATTCAATAACGTCGATAATTTATACCGATCAAGAAGATTGCACGATTGATTGGGTCAAGCGGGAAAACAATTACGAGCGTCGGCCCAATGGTGTTCTACAATTATTGCCTATATATCTTCACTGTATGGCCTTGCTATAACTCGAGGAAAGCCTTAAGAGAAAGAAAGGAAACCTTAAAGAAGAAACAGTTTCGTACATATCTCTTGTTCGACAAACGCGGGAGAACGATTAAGTGAGACGGATAAAGAAAATTGGCAAAGGCGATTTTGTAATTTCGTAACGAAATTTTGGGGTTGAGAAAGAGTGAAAAGGGGAGAGTTTGTCCGTATAATGCGTCGTGTAAATATCGATTTGGCAGCGTCACGTGCAAGACTGACACTTCAAAAGTTACCCCAAAGCTGAGTGAATCATAATATTCGCAATAACGCGACAGTACAAATTATAAGCGATCGTAACGATCAATTAATTATAGTTAAGTACTATTAATTGCTAATTTTTAATTGTGCAACACAGCGAGTGGTTTTCGGCCGCCTTTGTAAGGATCTAAACGATTAATAACAGCGGCAGTAACACTCCTCGATTGTATACATGTATGTATTTATAAGATATTTAAGTCCTCTTTTTGTTTTTTTATTTTAAGATTGCGATGCGCACGTTCTCGTTTCGTAATATACAGCGTCGCTGGCAGTGAAACGACCATCGCCGCGTCGAAAACGCGATTACCACCGCGTTTTTTGTGTAACAATCTTTCCACGCACGCGCTAACCGCATTAAATGAAATGTGCAAATAAAAGTTGCGTTTCACACGACACGGTTCAGCTTTATTTGTCCGAGGACGAGTGTGATGAAACGCCGAGTAGTTTTATCGACGATTAATTTAGTAAGCGATACCTGCGCAGTTTTGTTAATCGTGATTGGAAGAGAAAAAATTTATCTAGTTTAACACATGGAAACGAAGATTAAATTGGAGAGACAAGGAATTGCACAACTGGACGTTTCGCAGTAAACAATTCAACTGCAGTTAATTGATTGACTTATGTCCATTTCCATCAATGTAAATTAACTTTTCTCTTGGTCAAATTTGTTCTTCCTCCGTTTGTAAGAATAAAAAGAAAACGGCCAATCGAAATCAAAGTTAAGGTCGACAGTGATAGAAATGGATTATCAAACAATACACAAAGGAATATTAGTTGACTAAAATTACGCGGACGTAATATGCGGCTCTCAATTTTGCTAGGTATTTGAGCGGGTGGCAGGAATAACGGGAGATACGTGATGTTTTTGTGTTTGGAGACTGGCGATTTTAGTCTGCGCGCAGTTTCGAACACAGTCACGATATATGATACATTCTGGAAACAACATTAGACTATGGCAATTAGGGCTGGTGATTTCCTTCGAAGGCTTCGACATTCGAAGCTTCGAAGTTTCGTAGTTAACTTCGAACTTTGAAGATTTCGAAGGTTCAAATCTTCTAAGTTATGAAAAGTAACAGCCCTAATTGCGACAAATATTGCAAAATTTAGGCACCAACATCCTGTCGGGATCCTTAACTTTTTCGTGTTTATTATATCTGGGCCTCGTGAATTGTACTTGATTAAAATCTATTTCGTTGATATAGAAATAATAATTTTCGTTTAATACGCAAGGAAGATTAGATTGGCGACAACGAATACGCGTAGTTGGGGATTGTGCGGCGGACAAATCTGCCGGTCGAACTAATTTAGAATTTCGATCGCGGCCGTGCCGATTTTTCGGGGCGCTCTCGCGCGCGCTCTCGCGCAAGGGCTCGGCCCCTACATCGATCGCGGGCCTTTCCATTGTCGCGCGGGGCGCGCTTTCCCGCGCCGACCCGCGCGACACCGGAAATCCGGTGGATTCCGGTTTCAAAACAGCCCGCCTCGCGGCGTTGCCTCTCGCTCCCGCGATCGGCGTTCCCACGCGGGGTGCCGCGCGTGAGGGACTCCCGGGGCACCCTTCGGCGGCTGGTTGCAGCGGGGATTCTAGTTTGGCGAACCGGTTTCCACCGAGTTTTCCCGAGAGCGGCCCGAGAAACGCTCCCTTTCCGCTCGAGTCGCGGAGGAAGGGCGTGGCGCCCCCTCGCGCGACCGCGGTACGGTCCTGACGGAGCTCTCGGTGGAGGGGGAGGGATTGGCTGTCCGGCGGCAGGGAGGGGAGAGAAAGAAAGAGCGAGCGAGAGAGAGAGAGTGAGCGAGAGGGGGAGCGCTGTAGGGAGCTTCCGTTTATCTGCGAGGTCAGAGAAGGCAGGCTGCGCGTTACAGTGGTGCTGTTGAAAAACACGATGAAAATGGCGTGGCAACCACAGGAGGAAGGACTTAGGCAAATTCTGACGCTGCTCAAGGAGTCGCAGAGCCCGGACACGGCGACCCAGCGGGCCGTACAACAAGTATCCTTTCCGCCCGTGCGGCCGAGATCCGTGCGCGATCCCCCCGTCGCCGTCGGGCCGTGCCGTGCCGTGCCGTGCCGTGATCGGTGATCGTGGTCGTGTCGTGTGCTGTGTACCCCGCACCGCTCGCCCATACGTGGCCCTCGCGGAGTGAAGCGCGAGTGCGGGGACGAAAAGGGACGCGGCGCGCGCGCGAGACCGCCGCCGTTACGCCCGTCGTCGCCTTCGTTTTCCCGGCGGCGGCCCCGCGGCTCGGCATCCGAGAAATTAATTACGCGCGAACGCGATCTCCATGTCTAGATCGCTCGAGAAAAAGACAGGGCGCGCGCGCGCGCGCGCTCACTCTCTCTCTCTCTCTCTGTCTCTTTCTCTCTCTATCTCTTTCTCTCTCGCTCTCGCGAGCGATAGCGTCGCGGATTCGCAACGATCCTTCCGCTCGTTTCTCGGCTAGGTCGCCCCGTCCGGGACTCGCCGCGCCGCGCGGAATCGAGCGGGCCCGACGCGTCTCGGGCGCGCAGCAGGAAATATGCTAACGATGCTCTCCCCCGGCCGAGCGGAGCGTAGTCGATCCCGGCTCGCTCGCGCGCGCGTGGGGACTTGTTTTCCCAGCGCGCGGCTCCTCTGATCGATAGTTTTCGCGGGAGTCCTCCTCGCCGGGCACTCGGTCGCGCGTAAACGTACCGCCCGCTCCTGTTAGCTCGCCCGGCCGTGCCCAATCGCGATATGCACCGCGCGCGCTTTATCGACGGTCGCCTTGCGCTCGCGGCCGCGCCGCTATCTTTTCGTGGGAAACCGATCGGCCACGTAAAATATAAATACGACTCCGCCCTTTTGCACGCGCGCGAGATGATCTTTGCTAGCTTCACGCCTGGCGCGAGACACCGCCGTGTCTCGCGTCGCCACGTTACGTTTTTCCTTAACCGCCGCAACGCAGAAATTGGAGGAGTTGAACAAATTCCCGGATTTCAACAATTATCTGATTTTTGTCCTGACGAAATTGACGTCGGAAGGTACGTCGAGATTGAAACGCGGCTCGCCAGCCGCGACTCTCCTCTCTCTCTCTCTCTCGGCGGGTCCGTCAGCTGGAGAACTAACGATCCTCTCTCTTTTTTTTCTGTTAAGACGAACCTACCAGGTCTCTGAGCGGGCTGATATTGAAGAACAATGTAAAGACGTACTTCCATAAGTTCGTACCGGACGTGATAAATTTTGTCAAGCAAGAATGTCTGTCGGCTGTCGGAGATCCATCGCCGCTGATTCGTGCGACCGTCGGTATTTTGATCACCACCGTCGCATCAAGAGGTACGCCATTTTACGTCCCTCCCGGAAAGCCCCGCGAGGGGTACGCGCATTTTGGTTGTTCTCTTTTCAACGATTGAAATACCGAATTTTTGCGAGTAGGTGAACTAACGTCTTGGCCGGAGCTGCTGCCGGCGCTGTGCCAGATGCTGGACTCGCAGGACTACAACGTTTGCGAGGGCGCGTTCGGCGCTCTCCAGAAGATCTGCGAGGACTCGGCGGAGATACTGGACTCGGACGCCATGAATCGCCCGTTGAACATTCTGATCCCAAAGTTCCTTCAGTTCTTTAGACACTCGAGCCCCAAGATCAGGTCCCACGCGATAGCGTGCGTCAACCAGTTCATCATCCAACGCACGCAAGCGCTGATGATCCATATAGACAGCTTTCTGGAGAATCTCTTCCATTTAGCTTCGGACGACGATTCCGAGGTCCGGAAAAACGTGTGCAGGTAAGCGAGGTGGATCCTTTTAATATCGTCGCCGTATCGGCAGATGGATTGTGTTTCTTATACCTCGCGTTTCCGCAAAGGGCCCTGGTGATGCTGCTCGAGGTACGAATGGACAGACTAATACCGCACATGCACAATATCATAGAGTACATGCTGTTAAGAACTCAGGACGTCGACGAGGGGGTGGCATTGGAGGCGTGCGAGTTTTGGTTGTCGCTTGCGGAACAACCGATTTGCAAGGAGGCGCTCGCGCCACATTTGACGCGACTAGTACCTATCTTGGTGAGTTCTACTCTCCCAGGTCTACGGCGAAGCCGCCGCTCTTCCGTCTTGCTCTTGTCACACTTCTCCCCCCTCCCCCTTTCGTTTTACAGGTGAAAGGTATGAAGTATTCGGAGATTGACATAATCCTCCTGAAAGGAGACGTGGAGGAGGACGAGATGATCCCGGACAGGGAAGAGGACATCCGACCACGTTTCCACAAGTCCAAGACGCATCACTCGCATCACGCCAACGGCATGAACAAGCACACCGACGAGAACGGCGGCGTGAACGGCGGGTGCGACGACGAGGACATAGACGTCGAGGACGGGTGCGACGACGATTCGACTCTGAGCGACTGGAACTTGAGGAAATGCTCCGCCGCTGCGCTGGACATGCTGGCTAATGTGTTCAGAGAAGAGCTTCTGCCGGTCCTGATACCGATCCTGAAGGAGACTCTTTTCCATCAGTCCTGGGAGATCAAGGAGTCCGGTATCTTGGCGCTGGGAGCTATCGCTGAAGGTGCGCGCGTTCTCCGTTTCCCTGAAAGTACCTCCAAATCGAATACTGTGGTCCAAGTGATCGAGCGAGGTTCGATTTCGTATTTGCAGGGTGTATGAGCGGCATGATTCCGCATTTGTCGGAGCTTATCCCTTACCTGATCAGCTGTCTGAGCGACAAGAAGGCTCTCGTGCGTGCCATAACTTGCTGGACGTTGAGCCGTTACGCGCATTGGGTTTGTGCGCAGCCTCACGAGACGCACTTGAAACCTCTGATGACGGAACTGCTCAAGCGAGTGCTCGACAGCAACAAGCGCGTCCAAGAGGCGGCCTGCTCCGCCTTCGCGACTCTGGAGGAAGAGGCGTGCACCGAGCTGGTCCCTTACCTCGGATTCATCCTCGAGACGCTCGTCTTCGCGTTCAGTGAGTACAATGAGGGGCGATTGGTCGGCCCGAATCTAAGGGATCCCCGAGTTACACGACTGTCTGTTCGCAGGTAAATATCAGCATAAGAACCTGTTAATTCTGTACGACGCGATCGGCACCCTCGCCGATTCTGTGGGCCATCATCTGAACAAACCAGACTACATCAACCTTCTGATGCCACCTCTAATTAATAAGTGGAACGTACTAAAGGACGAGGATAAAGATCTGTTCCCACTGCTGGAATGCCTTTCTTCAGTAGCGACCGCGTTGCGCTCGGGTTTCTTACCATATTGCGAACCTGTATACAGGTAACTAATAGCGAATTCGGTTGGTTGCGCTAGTGCGCGCGAGTGCACGCTGAGACTTGTTTACAGTCAATTCTTACATTCAAAGATCATGTTAAATACCTCTTGCAATATCTCTTGTCCAGAAAAATCGCCAGTACAACGTTTACACCGGTCATATTTCACTAAATGCTCTTTGAACGTGTACTTAAGACAAAGTTAAACATTAGCGTGCACTCAGCGCGCACTAGTGCAAGCAACCGAATTCGCTATAACACGTTCTGACCAAACTATAAATCTGTATAATTAAACAACATATGAGAAAACGCCAGTGTGGGTCACAAGGCAAGACGTGGGTAGCCCAACTTGTAAATCTTGTATTTTTCTGAAAACCGTGAATCTATTATACCGTTTCTTTCCACATTAGTTCTACGCGCCGATTTCTTTTTTCGGACGTAACGCAGTTCTCTTACACGTGGAATTATTATCGTCAGCAAATTCACATATTCGAATCGATAAACAATTTTCTTTGTAATTATATTTAAAATGTTACGTATTAACATTTGTCTGATGCTACATTTAGCATCCAATACCCCCCTTTTTCCGTGCTGTAAATTATTCTTATCGCGAAAAATATTACCTCGGCCCAGGATGCGAACCAGGGACCTCCCTCAATCCGCGACGGTTCTTTTGCCCCCATCTATTGCAAATTATTTCAATATTGATATGGTAAAATGGCCGTTTCGTTCGCAGGCGATGCGTGTCGCTCGTAGAGCAAACGTTGAACCAGCACATAGCGAGCACGCAGAGTCCGGAGCAATTTGAGGCACCCGACAAGGACTTCATGATAGTCGCGCTGGACCTCCTGAGCGGGTTAGCGGAGGGTCTGGACGGTCACATGGAGCGGCTGGTAATGAACAGCAACGTTATGCAGCTGTTGTACCAGTGTATGCAGGACACCATGCCCGAGGTTAGACAGAGTAGCTTCGCTTTACTAGGAGATCTTACGAAAGCTTGTTTCCAACATGTACTCCCCTGCATACGTGAGTATATTCCGGACGGCGCTGAGACTATCGGATACGTTAATGTTGCTAACGAACTTTATCTCGATGCGCAGCGGAGTTTATGCCTATACTTGGACAAAACTTGCATCCGCAGTTCATATCGGTGTGCAACAACGCAACATGGGCGATCGGCGAGATTTCGATAAAACTTGGTAAATATAGAGGGGGGGGGGGACATCCCGGGGAACAAATCGACGGTTTTTACCCACTTGTTATCTCGCTTGTTCCGCGCAGGGCCCGACACGAGCGCGTATATCCCGTTGATCTTGTCGCAGCTCATCGAGATCATTAATCGTGCGGACACGCCGAAAACGCTGTTGGAAAACACGGGTGAGTCGTCAGCGCGACCTTTACGTATATATCTGGTTCTCTCTTAGAATGATACCGTATATGATATACCGAGCATTACTTTGAAACGAATAGAAAGCAATGTGTAGTGCGAGACTCGAGCCGACAACAGAATCTGTCGATTCCTATACATACATCGCTATCTATCCCGTGCGCCTTAAGGGCTAAGAATTACACTACGTCACGACTGTGTGCTGCTCATTTGTGCACATTGGGAAACTTCTCATTCGCAGAGATTAGCCTGACGGCATAACCGTTGCGCGCGATCTCAATATCGCAGACCGAAAGTACTTTTCCGATCGTAGTTTAATGAAAGGTCTCCCAGTAACTTTTAGAGTATTGTTCACGCTAGATCGAGTTGTTCGGTGGCATCCCAGCTCTCTAGGTGCATAAATACGTATATATATATATTTCTTTTCCCTCTTTTTTTTTTTAAGTAATTTTTGGAGCAACCACTCTTGAACCACACAGTTCAGTGACTTGGCGTGGTCATATACATGAGTCGCGATTGCACGTTTTTATCGACAGGTTTAAGCAATTAGTACTTGTATATTGAACCTTGAATTAGTGGTGTGCGACTGCCTGTAGGCTTGAACGTATATACATATACGGCTGTATTGCCACAAAGAGACATGTTGCAATTCGGTATATACATATATATATATATAAAGTACAGTATGTATGCGTATATATATACATATATACTATATGCTTGCATATTTCTTCCAAGCCCCAGATGATATTGTTTCGACTGAATTGTTTGAATTGGCCTTGAAAAAATCATAACGCAAATTTGGTTATTTCTTTTGATTGTTCTCTTATTTGTATACTGACATGTACATTTCTTATATACAGTAGAGAGAAAGAGAGGGAGAGAAAGGGAGGGAGAGACAGAGTGAGAGAGAGAGAGAAAGGGATCATTTGGTATACCGGTCCGTATTATACAAAATCACACGGGCTCGCACGCTGCTATCTAATTTTGATTATTGTTTCAGCAGCTACAATAGCACGGTATTGCCTATGTTTCATTGTCGGTATCTCATATGTTTCACCTGTGTTCTCACCTGTCTTCGATTAATTGTTAATGTTACTTGATTCTTAACTGAATTATTAATTGAGAATTATTAATTGGAAGTTTACAAGCGGAGCATATATATATATATTCTTCTTCGCCTGAGTTGATCGTTGGTTCTCTATCAGTTTGTCTTATTGTTTGTGTTTCCGGTCACTTCACTACACTTCACTTGTCTACTTACCGAAACCGAAAATGAAACCGTAGCCATAACGATCGGTCGCCTAGGTTATGTGTGTCCCCACGACGTCGCCCCCATGTTACAGCAGTTTGTCCGACAGTGGTGTGTAAATTTCTTTATTATATTATTATTCTATTAATTATATTATCTTCTATTTTTATTAGCACTCTTTATTATACATTATTACATTCCCGATTCCTGAGTAATTGCATCAGGGGCTGCTAAGGACTCTTGCGCAAGAACACAAACGCTCGGCAAAAATCGATTGTCCATTTACCTTGCCACTCGTTACGGTGAGGGCAGAGATGCACATGTAAATGAGAGAGAGAGAGCGCGCGTCTATCATCCCGCAGCTGCCAGCGTAAACTTGCCCAATGGTTTTTCGCAGTGTTAACATCTTAGATTTGAATTCGTTATATGATATAATTCTAATCTTTATTTTGCCACCATGCAAGTGTGTTACGAGCTCTCCTGTTTATCCGACTATCAAGAGACCAGGATAGGTTTACATTTGTCACACTTATTTGTCGCCGCGTCAAGTCTCGTTATCCGGAGGACCGTGGATATACCTCGCATATACATATATATATATAGTTCTTTTTTTCCTCGCTCAATTAAAATTTTCATTCTGCATGCTGGTAATTTGGCATCTCGATCTCTGTCGAATTGCGTTTGTTTCTAATTACACAATGTGCCGTGCTGTAAATGTCAAATGTAAACCCAGCCTTAATGAGACAGTAAGTGAAATATGACGCCAGTCATATGTCCTGATTACTGTTACGTAACGTATTTACGTCAATTTGTTCTGGGCTAGACTCACAAATTCAGGGATCGATCTTTGCAGTAATTGGTGTACTTGCAACTTCACTTGTCTACTAATACCGGGTCTAATTTAGCATTGACTTTGAACATTACCTGTAGATTTTACACACATATCCGTCGTTGCTGTTTGTATGTCTGCAAATCTAATAGTGATAATAACGATAATGTCTCGAGTCATGAAAGAAGAGTGCTAATTATCGCATTGGACTGGCCTCACAGTGAGCCAACCGTTTCGTGTCTCGTCGAATGCAATTTGATATATATATATATATATAAAAAAATTAAACATTTATCTATGTGTGAATTGTGGGAATGAAAGTAAATGGCTAGTTGTTCAATTTTTGCCAGAGCCATATTATTATATATACATACATATAAATATATCTTTCTATGTGACTTATAATCCGAAGAAAGATACTTCGATCATGTAATGACGAAGTTGACGTTCTCTTACAACTCGTCGAGTGAGACATAATTTTAAACATTGCGAATGTAAGATCAGTGAGTGCCGTAAAACCCGCGTGTTTTACTGATCGAAGTATTTTCCACTTGGGGAGGGGGGGGGGAGGGGGGCAAGGCGGCCGAACAACGTCTAATGAGATTGTCGATTGTAAATTTATCAATAGGTGCACTTCTCTGCGAAGCATAAGAGATAACGAAGAGAAGGATTCTGCCTTCAGAGGTATGTGTCAAATGATTACTGTTAATCCGGCCGGCGTCGTCCCGGACTTCATCTTCTTCTGCGACGCCGTGGCGTCTTGGTCTGCGCCGAAGGAGGACCTGAAGGAGATGTTTCAAAAGGTAAAACGACAGCCGGACGAGCTGACGAGCTGAGTACTCTCTCGCCGCGGATCTTACGCAATCGTTCTCCTCTGTCTAGATACTGTTCACTTTCAAGAATCAAGTGGGCGAGGAGAATTGGAAGCGATTCTCCGACCAGTTTCCGCCGCAGCTCAGTGAGCGGCTCCACAACATGTACGGCGTCTGAACAGCTCCGCCTAAAAGCGGTAAGTTGAACGATTTTCTTACAGACGTCATCATGTTTCGTATAGGAACTTGGAAGCGGTAACTCGACAGGAATCCTTACGATTTTCTTTATTTGTTTGCAGAAGGCCGCTTAATACAGCAGGCCGAATGGGGTTGGGCGGGAAACAAGGGGCGAATGGGACGGGTGGGTGAAACCACGGCCTCTTCTCATCAACATCGTTGTCGTTACCGTGTCATCGTGGTATGTTATTATCGTGCTTTTGGGGAAAATAATAGAAGGCACGCCGTGCCTTTTAAGCCTTGGCGGCCGCCGAGGCCGCGAGGGAAGAGAACGGAGAGAAGGAGAAAGAGAGGAGACGAGAAAGATGTTAGCGAAAGTAAAAGGCAAGAACGACAAGAGATAAGCATTGGCCGAAAAGTAAACGCGTGGGTGGGCGGGGAAGGGAATTATTTCGGGGTGGGAGGGAGGAATTTTGTGGGGATCACCGACTATACATTTTAAGAGACGGAATGAGGTATCAGCGTAACAACAATCTGACTTGATACCTCGTTGATGTACCGACGTACACGCTCTGTACACTCCGTTTCCATTAGCGCTACCGCGTAACACGTGAAAGTGTTATTTGATTCTCGCGTATGTCAAAACGTGACGAGTGCTGGCTGGCGCCACGGCCATCTTTGCCCCAGCTCATTAATATAATTAGATATATGTATATTATTATTGAGCAACCGACTCTCGCGAGAGTAGTTGGAACGTAAGAATTTAGCATAGATCTCACGTTATAGAGATCGCGCAGACACTGTGATTGAAAATTTGTACGTTAGATATTGATCCTTCTTTTTTTTCCTCCTTTTTTTCCTTTGAGAGCGAGAGAGAGAGAGAGAGTGAGAGTGCACGCGAAAGCGAGAGATTATTCGAATGTGTTTGTGGAGTTTTAGAGACAAGGTAGAACTACTTATTTGATAATAAATATGATACAAGGTAGAGTACGTTATTAGAAATTTCATAGTGTACAGAGGGTTTTTCGAGAATATTGTATTTTTATACGTTGAGAAGGAAACACATGCATACACATGAAGATGATAAACGCAGAAAGTGCCATTCCACCATTTCGAACCAAAATTTTTCTGCTTATTTTATTCTCTCCCTTGCTGATTGTGATATTAGGTTATACGCGACAACTTTGTCATCATGTGTAAAACATATTTCAAATGTATGCGTGCATATGCATATACATATATATATAAATATACATATATATAAATATATATAATGCATTCGATTATATATATATGTATGTACGTATACCAACATGATATGATGTTTTAACTTACAGACCATTTTTGTGATTACTTTTTTTTTGTTAAACATATTAAATTAGTATCATATTAGTATTAATGTAAATATAGATAATTACATTTTAGAACGGACGTTTTTGTTAATCATTATAATAGATTATTTCAAATCTTTGCCGATCTATCAAAGTCTCTCGTCGTTGTTTAAAATCGTCAATCAAAAAAGAAAATTTAAGAAGAAGAAAAACGGTTTACAGATGTGATTCACAGAGCGAGCGAATCTATGACGTGAAATCTATGGCAATGTTAATTTTATTTGTGCGATATATTGATCTCGATAATTCATCTGGATAAAGAAATCTTGCGTTTAAATCGTTTTTTAAAGAGAGAGAGAAAGAAAGAAGAGAGCAGACTGTCATTCCAGTCCCACTTGCTTGGGCCAGTTAAAAAAAAGTAAGCAAGTCCTTTTATCTTAAAGTGGTGTGCGTTTTTATCTCGGTCGTTACTTAAGAGGAAAAAAAAGATTAAAAATTCTATAATTCACATTGTGACACAAAAATATTATGTATTATCGGTAATTGAGTATATGCATACGTCTCGGACGAGAAGCTGCGAGATCCTTTAACAGCGAATAATTCTAGTTTTACGACATAAAAGGAAGAGCTATGTTTTAATTTTAATTTTCATCTTCTCGCGTCGAGACCAAGTAAGAGGGGAGAAAAGTAAAGGAAACGGCACAACCTGGGGGAATAAAAGAAAATACTGACCATCGTTAAGTCGCCATTGTCAATCAAACTTTGAAAAGTCTATCAATAAAAGATTCAACGACTGGCGGGAACCGAACTAGCGCAGGCGAGACGGACGTTTTCAAAAAGGGGGGGGGGGGGATTACCTTGGAACTCCACTCTTTATAGCTGCAAGAGAGAGGGATAGATGTTCGAAAATTGAAGAATTGAGGAATCGACGCGACGACAAGGGTATAGTTACTCCCCTTATCGTCGAATGAAGGATAATTTCGCATCGTCCTGTCGCGTCCTTATTTTTTACGGCACTCGCGACAGACTGTGTCGCGCAGCAGAGCCTTCTTCCTTTCCTCGCGGGAGGAAAGAGATCGCGCGCGGCGAACAGACCGAATTCCGTGACCGCTCCTTGACTCGATCCACACTCGTTTGTCAACTTGGCAATATAGGTATCGTACATGTATATTGTCGTAATTTTATCCCAAACTCTGGCCCCCCTCCTTGCCCTGCCTGCGCAATTTTTGTGATATTACTGTTTTTTATAATTACTTAAGAGCTTGGAAAGAGGAAAAACGGCAACGGAACACCCGAGCCACATGCCACTCGGCGCGGGGATTTAAACGGAAAATCGCAGTCACGCAGTCTTAATTTCTCTTATCGCGTATATATGTATGTATGTGTAAATATTGCATATAAAAATCGACATTGTTAATCACCTCACTTCTCGCCGAGTTACATTTAAGAGTTCAACAGTGGCTGGCGGGACGGGATTTTTTACACACAAGTTACATCGTTCACTCTCCACGATAGTTCCTAAGCTAACCGGTTTCGTCGGTGACGAGAGTCAGACGCTCGTTACCGCCGATCCCGGGGTCCGCCGAAATTCCACATCGCAATAGAATCTAGAGTATAATACGTATGTCCTCTCTCTCCGTGGTTGTAAATACGTTGCCTCCTTTACGACCTCGTCGTATAGTTTCGGGTGCTCGCGGCTGATTACATTCATATCGATACGTTCCCGTCCCCCGTCGAGGGATTATGTGGCTCGCGATTACATATTCATTCAACTCGAAGAGCTCTCAGTCACGATAATATCGAGGTATTAAATCTAAATAAACGATTATAAAGTAACAGTGAGATGACGTCTATTTATACATAATTATTATATTAAATAATACAATGATAGAGGACTGAAACAAAAAAGTGATTAATGCCGATTAATACAGAAATTTCCAAACTTTTTCTATCGTCAGTGAACAAAATTGAGTGCAAACACGTATGTGGGGGGGGGGGGGACGTGTAGTAACAGGGTGATCGCAGGTAAAAGAAAACGATGGAGAAAAAGAAAAAAAAGGGATATACGATTAAAAATTAGAGCAGAGTAATAATCGATGTGTGAATCGAAACTCGATAAACTCACAAGTAAATATATTGTTGTATCTTTATTGTTGTTGTTGCATGAGACTAGCTTAATAGACTGAGCCATACACGTGGTTAAATAACTATTAACATAATAATTCTTAATTAATACTATAATTATTGTAATTAATATATATATATATATATTATATATATATACGGTGTGTATTATATTTAATCATAATGAATCCTCGTGCGGGCAGTGCTCGGAGCGGAGGTTCCCGCGTCCTTTGGGATTACCATTGATTCCCGATCACTGTAGCTCTTTCTACGGCCTTAGATTGGCCGTAACGCTTTCTATCGCGTAGCCAAGGTATCTTCGATACACTTAAGGTGTATTAGTATACTTAAGTATGCTCACGTGTGCTCCGCGGACGTCCTCCTTGCAAAATGCCGTCGGGATACAGCCACAATATTCACCGCGGAATTAGATTATTAATATGACCTAGACTTACAATTAGACTTTACAATCATTATTACCGCACTTGGTATTGTGAAAGAAGTTCTATATTATATAGATGCGTATAGTTATATACATATAATTGATATACCTTCGCTCATTCCGATTGAACAGCCGTGGAAAAGATTCTGTCAGGAAGTCTTTCACAAAGGAAAAAAAAAAGAAGAGGTCTATCCGATAGACTTCTCGACACCGGACCTGTCGATCGAACGCGTCTTTCCCCTCTCAAAGGATTGGGACTCTGTGTGGGGCTGTTCCTAGTACCTGATTATCCTATCCTTGCGGCCACGGAAAGACGGTTCTGCCAAAAATCGGTCGAGGTCGAGCTGCCGTAACTTGCTCTTACTTTATCGTTTTCTCTCGCAAGCGCCAGCGAATTTCTCTGTCCAGTGTCTACACTCGATAATAGAGTATATACATACACGGTGTTCTTTTTTATTGTTGCATATTACCTTGACTACCTAGTACTTAAGGATAATCTCTTCTAGTGCTCAGTAGTAACGTCGCATGTAAGTTTCGCACGGACAGAAAATAAGGAACACGACACTACATTCTTCTGCTTTCCTACGCAATGAATACATTTACGCCTGTCAAGGTGCAACGAAAGGGTGCTGCCCATCCCGGAAGAGCGATAGATACAGTTTCGTACATGTACCTCTTTATATAACTCTTGACTCTTTGAAACGTAAAGAGTGTATGATAGGCGGATTAGCTGCGTATGAGATGTCCCACGATAGGTACTGATTTTCTTTGAAGAAAAGCGAAATTGTAATTTCAATTGTTCCTCTTTAAACAGTTAAAATTACAAAGTACACGAAATGTCTTATTCAAAACTTGTGGCCACGAGGTTTTGTTACAAAAAGAGATTTAATTTGATCCCTTAAAATGAATTCTTTGGCAAGAACCTTTGTTCAAATGTAAACGGGAGTATTCTGTGCGCAGTTAAATCGTGCATCATATATTGTTTTAAATTGACATGGCAATTGCACTGTAAATCCATCGTCATCTAAGGCTGAATGTACACACTCGACAAATGTATTTTATAGCCTCGGCAATTTTCCGTCTCATTAAGAATTATTTTTTTCTCCAAGCGCGAACTCATTGTAATCGACCCGGACAACTTTACACTTTATAAAGCGTAACGCAAGCGCGTGCAAGTATTCAATTCGAGTAGCGTGGATCCATTCTATTCGGACGGCAGACCGTTGACGAAGAGCAAAAAGTTGTAGAATTAAGGTTCAGTCGCTTGTCATGACGCGTTTACGCGAACACTTGCTTCCTGCCGCCAAGCTTCTTCCGTTAATTAACTGTCCGAGTCGCGTGCTGTCGCGACACAGTATACATGTGCACGCGCATAAATCACACAGTTCATATCCGGGATTGAAACCGGTAGAACTTCGTTGGCTTCAGATTTCCATGCTATAGATGCGCGAAACTGATCTCCGTGGGTGT